TTGAAATCTACGACGCAGAGGCTAGAGCTGCTCTACATGGCCTAGAACTAGCTATTTCCTCTACTTCCTGGCCCTCGGCAGGGACGTGCTGGATTTGCCTTGACAATCTTGAAGCTACACTTCAACTGACCTACCGGTCCTGTGGCACCTCGCAAGGGACCTTTAATAGGGTTAACGAGTTAGCTCTTTTATACCCTGGGAAAGTTCAAACCAGGTGGTGCCCTAGTCACATTGGAATTCAAGGGAATGAGATTGCTGACAGAGCTGCAGGAAAAGGCGCTCGGCTACCTCCTCCCGACCCCACTTCTGTACTCTGCACTGCTACGCTTAAAAGAGAAGTTAAAGAGACAGGGGTTCAGCTTGCAAAGAAACTCTGGAAAACTACGCTTCCAAGCTTATACAAGGACCTAGGGCTTATATCTACTAAAAGACAAAGTTCTACTCCAGGATCTGTCCTCCTAGATAGTCCTCTTCTTCCTTACACTATATCTCCTCTTTCTACTGTTCTCTGGTCCCTGTCTTATATAGTTCTTCTCTTGTTCTCTACTCACTATCTTGTACACTGTTAACTTGTTTTTATTCTAGCTCTTAAAATAACTCAGAACGAGAGCTGTTCCGGAAGTGGGGCTTCTCTTTAAACTATCTCTTGTAAATTAGCGCACTTTCATTTACACCCCCTGTAGCCTAGGGCACCCCCCTAGCGTCATTTGCCCAACACTGGGACTTTTAGGACCTAGCCCACGCGAGTTAGATTCCGCCTGACGTTAAATAGCAATAAATAAATAAATAAAGGAGAAAGCCTACGATGTAAAAGAGAGAGGTATTGCCACTTGACTCTGTCCACATCTGGAGCCAATATTGCGGTATAGTGATAAAGAAACCAAAAGAATCACCACAGCCGATGAGAAGGAGAAAGTTCGTCAAGCCCACAATTCGATAATAGTAGCCTGTGTCCAAGTTAGCCATATTCTTGACAGCTTCGCAAAAACAATACCATATAATGCAAAGTCTCCGGTCTGCCTAGAAACATCGTTTTCTAAATCGTTCTTTGCTTGAATCTGGGCGCTAAGCTGATCAAGTTTCGGGGATAGGGCTGCTTCAAGACTGTTCCTTTTTTCTGGGGCGAATTTTGCTATCGATGAAGCTTTTACTTTGATATCGTTCCAAGTACCACGTTCTTTTATTCCACCGTCTTCCAGAACCAGAATTTGGTCTGCGGCTTGAAAGTATTGAGCTACACTCGAGTAAGTAAACTGAGCTAGGAGTGGCATCTATGGACTTACTTGAGTTGGACACAAGAATGACAGTTGTCTTCAGCTTTCGAAGTAATCCTCCAGACCCAAGTAGATTCTCAAATACATTCTTCTCGGTCTCACCATCAAGCCCGCTAAGACAGTCGTCAAGCAAAATGATATCGCATCTCGCAAAAAATGCTCGTGCGAGTGCCTGTTATCATTAGAATCCACTACCCATAACGCGAGAAAAAGACATACCACCCGTTGTCTCTGTCCACCAGAAAGATTCAGCCCCCGACTACCAACTTGAGTTTCATCTCCATCAGGCATTGCCTCCAAATCATGCGTGAGGCAACATGCTTCTATGACTTCATGGTACCACTTGGTATCTACTTTACCATCCATGCCATGAATCACTTCTCTAATGCAACTACTCGGCAGCCAAGGTTTCTGGGCGCAATATGATATCTTTCGTGTTGAGACACGGACTGTTCCATGAGCAGGAATTATCTCCCCAAGTATCGTGCGTAGTAGAGTTGTTTTTCCGCTCCCAACTGGGCCCGAAATGATGGTCATAGAGCCAGCAGTAACTTCGAGACTCACATTACCCAGAACATGGATCTTGTGACCTATCAGTACATCTTGCATGGTAATAGCAGGGTCAAGCTCTATCAAGTGACCAGAGGCTGGGTCCGAAACACCCTTTGTCAAGTTTCCACGGGTGTCATGTAACAGAGGCTGAAGCAAAAAGGTCTGAATCCTGTCGAATCCTGCAAAAGACCCCACTACTCTTGGTACAATAGTCATAACCATATTCGCTGGATGCGTAACCATACTCAGGATGTCAGGGGTAGTGAAAGCCGTTTCGGTGTCTAATTTCTGTCCACGAGCTCCTGATATAGCAGCAAAGAAGACCAACGTGATAGCAGGAGAAAATATTCCAAGTGCATTTGCTGGTCTATCGTCAGATTCTGGAACCAAATTTGAAGTTGGGTAACTAACCCGAGGCATTGTAATAGACCATTATCCATCTAAGCTTTGAAGCCGCAGAAAGCTCTTCAGCCCGGAGTTTCTGGATACCGGTGGTAATATGTCGTTGGAAACCAAGCATTTTGATGGTTTTCATTGAGGCAAGCATGCAAGCTGTAGCTGCTATGCGATTTTATGTTGCAGCATTCCAAGCTTTTTGGCGTGGTTGCATATTTTTTGCGACGTAGCGGCTCATATAGGAACATACTAGCAGTTTCAATTTCAGATAAGCCACATAAAGAACACCAGGATTGTGATCTTACAGTATATCAAGAACAGAGGCAGAGGCCAAATCCAGCCAACTTCTCTTGCTAGTAGAAACAACCCTATAATCACTTCAATGACTTGTGCCCATATCTCGTGGAACATCTCACCGATGCCTTCAAGACTAGCTGTATCAGTACTCATGAGTGTAGTAGACTCACCATTCTCGTATGAGATGCTGGGTGAGTTCATGGTCTTGTCGTGGATAAGTCCGATAAGTGAACTTCTAGTCACAAGTTTCAGTCTATTCAATTTGTGCTGGTATACCGATATTGAGATCTAAATTGCGTTATATATATTGCTAAGAGTGAACTACTGGAAAGTTTGGATTTTTCAACTTACAGCGAGCCCAACATAAGTAACCAGAGCAAACCAGATCAACCAATATCCATAATCCCCACCTGCCTCATCAGAATCTGCCGTAACGAATCTAATCGACTTTTTGATCAAGACAGGTTGGGAGTATCGAAATGCTATCAACAAAATGCGAGGTATAATAGCCGCAAGAAATGGTTGCTTGAGACATCTCAGTAAAACAAAAAGCAGGGTCGTCCTCGCTTCGGTCTTGGCTATTTGTGTAAGAACCAAAACAGGCATAACGAAAGGCTGCTTGAATTTACCTCGCGAATACCATATTTCAAGAATTTTCTTTCTTGTGGCTTCTGGCTTGATGTCATGACTGAGGACCGGCAGATCTTCGTCGATCAGTAAGTTCTTGTAGCCTTGGTGTAGGATTGGATTGATCCAGGTGAAGAAAACCCTTCCCAAAACGCCATTTGCCTCCTCGGGTGACTCGGGATCAAGTGTGACTTTATATACTGCAGGCCTGAGAAATGATTGAAGAAGTAAAACCACAGAATGACCGACGCACCGGGCAAGCACCGGGTGCTAAATTGTAATTCTTGAACGCGAAGATGGGACCGTGAGGAAAGTAGTATCACATATTATTGCTGCAACAAGATAAAGCGTGACCAAATCAGAAGATTTAGATGACTGCTGCTGCTCTAAAAGCAGAAGAATGCTCAGGCCAAGTGTAGCAATGAAGGAAGTGAGTAGCGATACAACGAAGCTCGTGCTGGGCTTTGTAGAGGAATTGAGAAGTTCCGTCAAACATGCAAATAAACTCAACGCAAGTATACCCGTGAGCCCCTGGAACATTAGTTAGCGACTAATACTTCAATGAGGTATGACATGAGATATATACGCTTTGAAAGATGCCCTGCCATCTTGAAGACGCACGGAACCCGGATTTTCGAAGCTGCCAGAGTCTATTGGGCATGCAAAGAATGAATATGACGGCACAGAATGAAGATGCCGCGGAAATAATGTCTACTGTTTCCCAATTCATTATGCTTCGAGCTCTAGCTCTCCGTAGACTGAAGTTTAGAGAAATCGATGCGGCGTTGATTGTATCTCCGTACATTCGATGACATGCCGACTGCGTGATTTTTTGTCTGCTCAACTAACAAGGTTCATTTTGTGGAGCGGTATACGTACACGGGGATCATCGCCATTTTAGGCAGGGTTCGGTTGGTTCCAACATCGTGGATGGCCCGATTTAGGTAGTATACCGTTCAAAGCAGAGGAACCTCGATTTTTTTTAAATTATTACGAAACTCGAATCTTTGTATTTATCTTACGCTATTAGAGACCTGGTTATTAATCTAAATATGCCTAGCTTAGAACAATATTATTCTACAGGCCTCAATTAATTGAAATATACGTGTAAATAGTTGGAAAATTACTACTTAGTAATTTATAATAGTCTAGGTATATATTAACATTTAAACTATCTATACTAAACTCTAAATTATTATAGTAACTGTAAAGTTATAACTTAGTCTATTACCCACTTTATAAGTATTTCTACGCTATAAACCGTAATAAGTTTAGTTTTATAAGTAATTTAAAAAAAGACGTAACTTAGTTATTACTTTATATATATCTTTCTTAGAATAGTAATATTCTAAAAGTGTCGTATAACTAAAATATTTCTATAGAAATAAGTAAAGGATTTAAAATAATTATTAATACTTTGCTTTTACTAGTAAGTTATAGGTAACTTATACTAAGATAATTATTTTAATTATTCTAGAAGATTTAAATATTAAGTTTTTAAATAGTATATTTAGAGTAATTTTTAGGTTATTTACTAAACCCTTAGACGATATAATCTAAGAATAACGTTCTAATTAAATTATTTATCTAAATGTTTAAATCAAACAATAAACGTACAGCCAAGGTAAAATAAGCTCTTTTCGAAAATGTCTTACTTGTACTAGATCGGGTCAACAGAATATATTGCGTACTATCTACTAGAATTCGGTTACCACCCAGTGCTCATTCCTCGCTTATGTATAGTACTATATCTCCAGGTGCTACTTAAAGGACAACGTTATGTTCACCACATCTCTCTCCGTGCTGTTGGTCAGGATCATCGTACGCAACCCCACAGCGCCAACAAAACGCACATCCACAAATGCCTATAATTATAAATATTAGCTTAACTCTCAGAATTTCACGAACAGAAAATCTATAATCCTGTCTAACATCGAAACAAGGGGGAAAAAGAAAAAGGTGACATACAAACAATGCCGTTACATCCTCCAGCCTTGGTAATCAATCGGCCACACTCCTTATTAGGACAAGGCTTGGTACTCTTACCAATCTTCGCCTCGCTCTTCTTCTCCGCCTTGGTATTGCCTCGCTTCGCATCATACTCCTCACAAGTCTCGCCAACATGCCATGGGACACCATGGTACGAGCACGAAGCGAAGCCGCAGAGAGAGCAATTGATCAGTGGTTCCATTGTCTCTTGATCCTCGGAGGTCGAAGGGTAGATCTGGCCGAATGAACAGGTGGGCGAGAGACACTTTAGGTAGTTAGGGATGTCTTTGAGAGCGTTTTGGAGGATAAAATTGTCGTATCTAAGAAGCAGTTAGCAAGACCAGACTCTCAAAACTTTGAGGACTTCGAAGGGAAGGGGATAAACATACTTAGCGAAATCTTCCTTGGACGCGTACGCAGCAATGTCTTTGTACTCCATTTGCGCACTACAAAATATACATCGCATATTGAGCCAGAAAGAGGACTTCATGGCGCAGGTAATTGACTTCGCAAGACAAGATCGACAGACTGATGACTTGTAGGGACAATGATGGTGAGGTCTTTCGGGAAATTGGGATGCATCTTGGATTTCAATACAGACGACGCAGGCAATTTTATTTCCTAGGTACAATGTACGGCGTCGGAGTCGAGGGATGTTGAAATCCTGGAGAGGTTCGAGATCCTGTGGCATTGGTGTAAGTGGACGAGGAGTCGGCGCAGGGGGAGTCGGCGTAGAAACATTGTCGTTCTGGACTGCGATAAAAGGGGGGCTTTGGTGTTCAACTGGTGATGGATTGTATCCTGCAGGTACAAGTTGTCTACCTCCTTCTGGACATTGTTCTTGTGATCGCTCTTCTTCAGTTATGGTTGTGCCCTTTGCCTTCTTGAATAGATTTGTCTTCAATTTTCCCTTTCCCCACTGCTTCAGAGACCCCACGGCTCTGGTCAAATACAGCACTCTGATCAACCCTAAGACTCTGCTCAATCCCATGATGATGTTGACTCTTGGTAAAAACCAGAGAGGCGATGTAACGATATCCGACAATGATGAGTGATGCGCGATAAATCCAGGGTTGCGGAAGATTGATGTTGTGGATAATTCCGAAATCAACGACAGTTGTGTGCGTAAGGATCAAGATCGGAGTCCTGGTGGGGGTCAGTCATTTGTACTAAAGGTTTGAATGGGCCACCGAACGTCAGCCTAGGCATACTTGTGGTGAAGACAGATACCATGTGTTGATGTCGTGTGAAAGCCATGGCCTAGTATGTATTCACCTTGCAACGGCCACACACAAATGAGGACAGACATAGAACAAACAACAAATCTCAGAGGAATATGAAAGAAAACGTTAGTTTAATCAATGAAGGTACCTACTTGTCATATGCATGATAGCTGCGGATTCGAACGAAATAGATAATATCTATGTATATCGTTAATGATTTGGCAAATTGTGGATAAGCATATCTGGATGTAAATTTAGAACGTATACACAGCCTTCTAGGTGAATGACCAAGGCCCTTAGAGACACATGAACAGGCAGAAACACGCACTTTGATTCTCCAGTAGTGAGCAGGTTTTACAACAGCTCTACTCGTAGGGCGGAACCAACAATATGAATCAATAATTAAGATCCAGTGTTCGTCAAAGGTAATGCATTTTATTAAAACTCCATTTAGTCGCTTTGTCATGTGTTTTAATCTAGATCAGAATACTTACTTAATCCTTCTCTATCAATATGACATAGCACGGAGGTAGATTTCAAGAAAGGGGACCTGGGATTGGGACTTTGGACTTTACACGTTCATTGATGGCCTAACATAATCTCCCTCTAATAGGCATAAGACCAAAGGTAGTCCAAAATTCACGAACATCGTAACATCTTCCTAGCTGCTCCATCGATCTTGGTAATGCCTTGACCTCTTGCTCATTCATCAGCTCACCAATCCATTTTATTTGCGAGTTCTCTCTTTCCGTGTTCTTATTCTCTTCGTCAAGCTGTCCTGAGAATCCCAGGATCAAGGCCCACCAATCGTACACAATAGTATCTGTCAATAACTATGACTTGTGTCAGTAACATGTTCCAAGAACTGTCTGTAGCCTGTTTTGAGGAAAATCGAGTCCCAGGACTTACCCATCTTTGACCCTTGGCTTTGGAAAAGTTTTTATGGACGGCAATAATGCTCCTGGCCACGTCGAGTCCGTGGATCATATGTAGCGATGTTTTGCTTGCGAGCTGCTCTTTGGTAGCTGCAACTCTATCAATCCAGTTTTTGGGCTGTCTTGCACCTCCCCAAAGACCAGAAAGATTGAGAACTGCCCCACCCATGCCAATAAGCTCGTCCTCAGCTTGAGCACGGGCATTTGTAGTGTCGTACTACCCACAAATTAGCAACGATTCTTTCCATTCCAGCTGTACTAGTAATGAATGATTCCTGCCAGTTTCAGATGAAGGAGCCCAAAGACAAAGCTACAAATGCTGATATACCTTTGATTTTCTCGTGACCCACATCTCCTGGCCAGGGATAGTAAAAATGCCACTGCTTCCCAATTGAATAACATTAACAGCAGAATTGCTATGGGCCTTCATGTAAGAATTCACAGGATGTGCGCTCTCGTGTTTTCCCTTCAGCGGAAACGTAATAAGAAGGGTCTTGGTAGCAGGCAAGATTTCATACTGCTCAAGGTCTTTATGGCTCTCATCAACCTCGAATTTGAACTTGTAAGTTCCATCTCTGCCCGTCGTTGTGGTGGCCGCATATTTAGTATCCTGCACTTGTAGTAGAGGAATCAAGAAGGTGGAAGTCCATCCAGCTCCGAGAATAAGGATATCGACTTCTGATGGTTTTGAAACGACTGTGGTGGTCATAGTCTGCGAATGTCAGTTGTGTAAAAGATTATCGGAGGGTTTCAATTCACCATTTTGATTGGATGCTGGGAGTTCTGACTGAATTACAGAATTGACTTTTGAAGAAATGAAGATCTGAATCGAATGACGATGATATTCCGGGAGCGCGGGGAAGAAGATCAAAAGTCACGTGTTTTCGTGGAAGAGTGTGTTTATCCGAGACGCGGCGTGGAAAGATAATCGCCCAATCGGGACATCCAATCTCCAAATACAGAGAGCGTTTCACTATTTTTAAAACTTCCACAACACAAATGCCTGCCCGACATAGCACTATTCCGACAACAGAGTGTTATCATGTCTAGCTACCAAGAGTAAGTATTGATTCCCCAGAACACGGTAACAGAAATCAACTACCATACAGGAAAGTACTTCAAGTGGCCTCGCAGATACTCCCGGACTGGCCGAAAAAACCAACCCAATTCTACGTTGCGATCCTCCCATACAATGTCACCGTTCCGACCTGCCAACACGCAGATTTCTTCTGGCTGAAATGCGGAGGCGTAAGTGCGAAATGCTTCCCATCTTCGATATATCTTCGTTCATTGTGCTAGAGCTGATATGACCCCCCTTAGAGAACCACGATTGCGACCCTCCGAAAGGCCTACATTGCACAATCAGAGACTAGCGTTGAGTTGATGTACGAGGATCGTGTCAAGCCACAAGATGATACACAAATTCGCAATCTTTATCATACGCGGTCGGATATTCTAGTCTTTTGGACAATTGTCAATACGACCGAAGTGCTATCCCTTGATGTTCACCCAAACTTCTGGGCGATAGCAAATAGGATGCAAGCAATATGGGCGGGACGCGCTAGCCCGAGAGACTTTCTGGATTTGGAGCCGCAGGTACATTTTGGAGCATGTAATGTGATTGGAAATTACTAGTCGCTAATGGCCGTCTAGGTAATGCCTGCCATAGTTCTGCCTCGGGAAGTTGCCAGAGTACAACGGGAGAAATTAATACAAGTATCCTCTCAACACCAGCAGAACAATGAGCTTGGAACCCACGGGAAACCTGGAGAGCGTCAAATCAATAAATCTACATCGGATGGCGTTTTCGAAAAGTTGCAACAGCATGTTTCGAAAATTCACCCGCTTGCAAAGATAATAATGAGATCCCAGCCTGGTGCTTCGCGGTCGGATTTTATCTCTGCGCAGTTTGGCTGCCAGGTCTGCGGATATTTCAATACTGAGCCACCAGGGCGTAAGGCTCTTTCTCAGACCTACAAAGACTTTGAAAAGCACTTTACGTCCACAACCCATCGTCTGAAGAGCATAGCTTGGGCTAAGCAAAAAGTGAATGAAGCCACCGCAAGAAATGTTCATGGAATACTCGAATACCTCCGAACCTTATTCAAGAGTGCACAACTTGAAGCAAAATTAAATACGGGACCACAGGGCCTTGTTCCACGCTACACTATTGAGTGTTTAAAATGTCGAAGCTTCGCGTACCAATTCTTTGAGAACACACCTTCCGAAGTAGAATCAGCATATCGACAGCATCGAAAAACCCGGATACACCAAAATGGTGACATGCCTGCCCGAAAGTAAAAGCCACCGACGCCGCTCTGTCTACTTGCGCTCTTGGCCTACAGACGTCAAACACCAGTGGCAGCAGGTCGAATAAGCCTGCGATGGAAATGGACTCCAAACATCCTAGCGCGCATTTACATTTCGACATAGTATCAGACGCTGATTCTCAGGAGGGCTCTCTGCTGGCAGTCAGTCGCCAGTCACTATCTAGGGTTTCCAGCCGAATTGATACGAACCGAAGAATTCTTTTTTTGGCTGGAGGATTAAAATAAGACCGACCAAAACGTACCCAGTCTGACGTCAAGCCTAAGAATCATATTCAAACTTGGCAACCTTTTTCAATTTTGGGAGACCAAGACGTCAACCCGCTACCTAAATTCCGTCTACCATCGTCAACTACTCCCTCGCCACCTCGTAGGTTCTCTCTTATACGTTCTGGACCAACAACAGTCTCCTCAAAACAATCCCCAGTCACAAATGCGCCTTCTGTTCAAGGCTACCAAAAACATCTCGCTATGCCCCGTAGCAAATTTCCAAAAGACAATTTCCGCATCCAAGAATCCATCAAAACCAAGTCCAAAGAACGGTACATCACAGGACATTGTCTAGACTGCGAGAATTCCATGCCCTTCCTAGGAACACCAGAAGTCATGTACGCCGCTCTCAAGGCTCATTTACGTAGCAACATGCATCTTGGAAAACGATTTTCCAAGACCATGAGCGAGATGAAAAAGCAGGCTCTAAGTGCTTTAAAGGTTAATGAGGAGGCGTTACGAAGAGATGTACGTGAGGGCCGTTTATCAAACGCAGACTTGGAGAAGCATAGTAAGAAGAGAAAAGAGGTTTCGGAATTGAGAGACCCTACCATGACGGCTGAATCTGGGGGCTTTCCCACGTTGGCACGGGCGATTAGGTCTAAACGGAGAAAGATCGATGATGGCAAGTCGTAGGTACGGTCTATCTCGACTATTTCTAGAGTTGTGTGGAGTTTTGGTATTCTTGGAATCTAGGTTATGTTTGAGGCGTTGGGCTTTCATTTCAATACCCTCTATGCACCGCGTTCCTGGCTTTCTTGGAATACATTTCAGGATTTCGTGCTTTGGAGATACACCTTCTTCCAGCCGTTTGTTTTGGACATCGTGGGTTTCCTTGGAGATTATTAGGGGCAAGGCAGAGATTTGTAAGGATTAACTTTGAGCATGTTAAGCATTCAATATCCGTTCTTCTACTTGGGATGTGTGAGAGGTGAACGTAGAATTTCTCTCTGTACTTGTATAGGGAATCGTACCTATTTATCTTACACACTTTAGGCACGAACCACGAGAGTGGCGAATTAGCACTGCTTTCTTAGCGTTAAAGAGGGGGTTCGCTAATATATCGAGCCTACTATTAACCGTTTTAGGTTACTTAAGCTAGGAACCACCTAGGTAATATTAATCGAATCGAGTACGAAAAGTAGGTTTAGAGTATATAAAGTTTATAATAATATTAATAGAAAGCGAGGCTAGACGGGCTCGCAGGCTCGCTCTCGACCTCTTATTACGTTTATTGGTGTATATAGGTTTATTTAATATATAGCGACTTCGACAGCCCTTCTTCGCGACCTTAACAGCTCTCCTTTACGACGACAGGAAAGCATATAATAGTCCTAGAGGCGCGGACGGGGCAAAGGGGGCAAGAGGGGGGGCCAGGTGGCAGTAATAAGGATAAGTAGGGCGCGATAGCGAGTGGCGATAGCAAGGCTAGGACGGGCTACCTAGACAGCTGGCTTTAAGTACTTTGTATTTAGTTCTGCTTATATAACAAGTCAAAAGTGTAGATTGTTAGTTGTTGGTTGTTAGTTGTTGGTTGTTGGTTGTTGGTTGTGGACTGGTGGCCCTATCCGATCAAGTCCGTTCCGTATTATATAAAGAGTGAATACTTGATACTCGTGACAGTAATAGTATAAAGTCCCCATTGTTTTCCGTGGTGCGTTCTACTCCTCCTTCCCCAACTCCATTTACCATCGTTACGACACATTACCCACACAACCTACTCTCATACAGCTGCCCCTTAACGAGTCAACGATGTCAACAAATCCAGCTGACGCATATGCTGAAAAGCTGAGACGTGAAAGAGAAGCGAGCCCCATCGTAATTGATCGTCTGGACGATAATGTGTTGGCAAGTAAGTGTTCCCTGGGCTAGCTATGCGGACCACACCTTGCTGATTCAGTACTTCAGAGTTGCCAGAGGGATCTGAGGTGGTCTCTGCCGTACCCTCCGGGGCAAGCGCTTGGTGCAAGACGTTCCGTTCCGTATTGACGCAAAGTTGAAGAATGGTGAACTCAAACCTTACTTTATGAAGGTCGGTACCCATGTGCATTCACATCTAGCCCAGATCCCTGGGGCCCCCTATTGTTCACACATGATTATAGTATGAGTCAGGTGAGCCTGGCCGGCGCATGGTGGAAGGTGCTTTCCAGTCTGACTCTGTCTACGCCTCCTACGCCCCGGATAACGTGCCTACACCCGTGGGCTTTGGTGAATTCAAAGATGATTCTGGCACATGGTTCTACGTCTGCGAATTCCATGACATGGTCGATGATCTGCAAGATGTCGTGGACTTGGTCGATATTCTCTCCAAGGTTCATAGGACCAGTATGGGAAAGTCTCCAACAGGCAAATTCGGATTCGCCGTACCAACGCATCTTGCGAATATCCCAAACGACAACACTTGGCAAGACACATGGGAGGCATTTTTACCCAGGCTATGAATTCTATGTATGATTTTGAGAAGCGGGCCCAGGGTAGAGACGAGGAACTGGACAACCTCTTCGATGCCCTTTGCAACAAGGTTATACCGAGACTTCTTCGTCCTTTGGAATCAGAGGGGCATTCTATTGAGCCTTGTCTTATCCACTCCGATCTATGGCCTGGTAATTGCATGCTGGATGCAAACACAGGAGATATCATTATGTTTGACTCTTGTGCATTCTGGGGTCACAACGAGGCAGATTTGGGCCCTTGGCGGGCGCCACGATATCGACTTGGAAGACCATATCTCAGACAATATCAGAAGGTCATGGGGATTTCAGAGCCACAGGCTGATTGGGATGACTGGAATGCGCTATATGCTTTGTAGGTGGAAATTCCTGCAGCGAAACGAATACATGCTCACTGATCTTCAGGCGCTATGATTTCTTGGTTTCTGCCTTGTATCCTAACGAGACAAAGTTTCGCGACATGTATGTTATCGTTTCATTCCGGCAATTCAGAGAGGTCTAACATGATGCAGGGCAAGAAGGGAGCTGCGTGCGCTGGTGGAGTATTATCCTGGTGGCTTGCAGGAGTACTATGATCAGTCAAATGCCACAAAGCACTCTGGAGAAATTGAACTTGATCCCCAGATAATTGTTGGTAAGAGCTCTGGTCACTCAATTTAGGATCAGAACGAGTGGAAGGTTGATTTCGTATGTAGCACTCCCACCAGATTCCAAAGTTTAAGCTGCTCAGGGGTATGGGATCAGCAACTGGAATCAGACTGGCTATATCCAATTTCAACAAAGGGATAAATCAGATGTGACACGTTGGTTTCTCAAAGTACCTTTGTCCGTGTTGGGTTAATTTAGTTCATCTAACTCGTATCTAGATTTCCACGGGAGACCGTGGACTTGGAATGATGAAGGGCGAGTATGAATAGACGAGGGAAATTTGTAAAGTGTCACCCACGTTTGCCCCGCGCCTTATTTCCTGAGGTTCCTGTTCAAACTACAATCACCATTTCATTCTCTTAAAGTTTCAAGATCTTGAGCCAGGTGCTCGGTCCACCGAAGACTTTGCAAGATCTCTTGCAAAGTTGCACCAGAACAGTCGCTCGCCAAATAGTTGGTTTGGCTTTCATATCACCACGTATAATGGCAATCTGCCACAAGACAATCCCTGGACAAGATCTTGGGAAAAGTTCTTCTCCAATAGACTACGACAGATGCTATCCATAGAGCAAGCGATCCAAGGACCCAGCCCAGAGCCTCAAGGGCTTTCCGAGGCGTTGTTGGAGAAGGTCGTACCGAGGCTTTCGCGTCCATTAGAAACAGGAGGTAGAACAAAGAAGCCTAGCCTTTTATACAGAGACCTTTAGGTCGGCAATATTGCTACGAACAAGTTAACCGGACTGCCTGTCATTTTTGACTCGTCCTCTTACTATGGCCACCATGAATGTGAGTTTAGCCCTTTCGAGCAACCGTGTGTGAGTTGACTGACAGGTCAGATGAGTTGAGCCCCTTGCGACCAATGAAGAACCAGTGTACTCGAGAATACATTGAGACTTACCACAGACACATGCCTAAGGATACACCTGTACAGGAGTGGGAGTCTCGTTATGCGTTGTATGCATTATGAGCCGTTTCCAAACACCCTTGAAGCCTGATAATAATATCTGGGAAGCGCAATATTATTATAGGTTCAGCGCTGGATCTTAATAATGACAAATATCGAAAGGCGTGAGTCCTCTAATCCACTTAACCTATTTAAAGTATTTATTTATATTAGCTTTACGTCTAGGAATAGTCTCTAGAATTTACTAGATAAGGGTTATAATAGTAGCGTATATTACTCGCCACACGTAATTAATGAAAATAGTTTTGAAACCGTTCAAGTAATAAATAATAAATAAAACCTAAGGTTATTACTAACCTAGGCCTATAATCTATCAAGTGTAATGGAAAACTTGGATATAGCTTATTATTATATTTATAACTGCTAGAGATAAAAGAGGCTATCTATATCTTTATAGGGCTATAATATATTATAAGACGCCACCTAATTTAACTTAGGGGTGAATGCCAGAGTATGTTAACATTACATGTTGCGCCGATTAAGCGATGTCTATTATCTTTCTTACTAGTCTTACTCCGTAACTCCGGTAAGCATGTACCGATATTCCACGACAACCAGATACAGAAAAAAGAGGCCAAATGCCGAATTAAGCCCTCAACTAAAACGAATAATGGTAGCACTACTATCATATCCTCAGTCTGCTCTAGCATCGGCATCTGCCTCACCTCGACACACAGTTCTCTCCAAAAGCCAGCGTTGGTCTATAGTCGCTCTGGTCGCTGCTGCGGGCTGATTCTCAACCTTGAGCAGCTTTATCTATTATCCGATGTTGTCGATACTGGCAGAGGATCTCCACACCTTCATTGCTCGCGTCAACTTTACCGTTACCTCATACCTCGCCGTGTCTGCCATAGCTCCATCTATCGCTGGAGATGCTGCCGACACGTTTGGGAGACGGCCAGTCTACCTGGTCACCCTTTTGTCATGTCTCTCAACAACCTTGATTGGAATTTACCATCTGAACGAGCTCGAAGCTGGATTGATCTACCTTCCCTACGTTGCTAGGTGTCTCATATCAACCCTTGTGTCAGGAAAGTTGATCGACCGAGACTACTGGATGGTAGCCAGGAAATACGGTCTACCTATCGACAAAGTGGGCGGGGATGACATGTCCCGATCCTCCATCGAAGAAGCCAGGTTGCGGAGTATATTCGCGCCAACCTTTCTGGCAATAGTTTCGATGATTGGATATGGATGGGCATTCACTATTTTCGGAGGTTCAGCATTCATATTAGCCTTTCTGTACTTTTTCCAAATGAAGTATGGAGTGAGGTGGAGAGTGAATAAGCGAGCAGGGGATTTTGGGCACGTTCAGTCTAAAATCTGGAGGTGCGGCCAGCAGCAGCTGTAGGTAAGGCAGTTGTGGATGAAAAGAGATATATTGTAAGAAGATAGATTGCATCGACCGAGTTGCGTACTTGGGATAATCAGCACAAAAAAGGTCACCTTGGAAGATGGCGATAAAAATCTAGGGCTCCTCAGACAGATTAGTCGCGGCTTATCCCGGCCAGGTCAAAAATGCAATAATAAGAAGACAAATTAAACCGACAATGATTACTCACTACTCGGTCTCAAATAAAATTACTATCAGTATCTCGCTTCCTTAGAAGTTGGAGTTATTATACAGCCGAGCTACTCCGATAGAGGGCTTTGGGAAGTTTTCTAGTTCTGATTCAACCACGCTTCCAGGAATCGCATCCAGAGCAGTGTAAGGTGGGATGTTTGTGATGGTTTAGAAAGCATATAGGCATGATTAGGAACAACACTCTGCTATTGGGAACTGATTTGGCTGTTTCAACGCATTGAAATCAAGGAAATATCGTCCACTGTTTTGATGCGTCGATTTAGCCGAGAAACTAGTGTCTGTCATGTTTTCTTTCCTCATTTGTTAGATAATACTTGCAGTATCTTGCAAAACGACAACCCTTGTCTAACTGCTTAGATCAGGGTCTTCACCGATCGCGGATTTGAGAAGGTGCTTTATGTGTTGCAATCAATATAACCCAGTGCTGTGCAATGTGCATCCGCTCTCAAAAAGTTGGTCGCTAATGACTCGGGTGAAAAGGGGTCTTCCAGACGCAACGAAGGAAATCTTGAAGGAAATCCCAATGATGGAAATTCGACACATTTGCTACAGCAACCTTGCTCGCGGTGAACATAGAGCAGGATAGACGCAGAAATCCGCACGGCACGTGACCAAGGAATACTTCTGGATAACTTACCTGTCCCGAGAACTGTTTCGAATGCAACTCTCTATGCTCGGAAAATATCGACTATTTCTTCCAATCTAAGAACAGTTGCTATCTGACGAAATTCCAAACACAAATGATATTTTCCGATCCCCGTAATGGTTATTAGCAAGACTTGTCATTTCTCAACAAGACACCAGAGTGTTGGTCAGCCCTTGTGAGTCCACGATACAAATAGTCCAAGGAATTATCTTTACAGGCAAGGGACTCTCGTCATAAATCTTGCTGTTGGTTGGTTCTTAGTGGATTGATATTCCTATTTTCCGCCCCCAAACATCCCACACAGGTTAGTGTTCTCACAAGGTTGACAGACGTGACGGAGACAGCCGCACATAGTCACACCGTGTGAGAGGCCAGACCTCGAACAACTCAAAGGTGTGGGTTCAATATTCAATTAAGAACTACGTGGTCTGTAAATACATGTTCCTCCTCTACTCTTATACTAAATGTAGCATTTCCATTGCATTCAACACTGTTCCATAGTATTACCAATCTTCTGCGTCATAGCATTCTATCTTATTCCATGGCGTTCCAGAGGCGGGGTCGCTTAGCTTAGCGAGGGCTCTTGGCCCGAGCCCCACTATGGGTTCTAACCCTCACACACCGACGCACCGAGTCTCTCGAATACAGTCATGTACGCTGTAGATATTCTTCTCTTCCCTTTTGCTGCAATCTGCGAGCACATGGAAGCAAATCCAGAATGAACAAAACCCAGAGCCATTCCCGACTGCTTACTCTGAATTGGAGGGAAACTTCGCTGGTTCAGAGACACGATATGCCACTGACTGCGGACTATAATGTCGTTCGAGTTTTCTATTAGCGACTTCATTGCTCTATCCAGTACTAGGCCGTATGTCCTTCGGTTAAATGCCTAAAAGAGCTCTACTATGAAGGAAGCGGAGCGCCACCCGTGACCATCACATAACAGCATGTTACTTTACGTGGGAAACTTTGAAATGGTACATTATTGACTGATCTACCTTCATGACATCCAGAAGAATACAGGATAGCCCCTGTTAGTTGATCGAAGACTGTTTTAGAAGAATGTCCTCTTCGAGCGGCATGGATTGATTCAATCCTTCAAATATGAGAAATACCATAACCTGGATACAGCATCTCAGTATCCATTTGAACTGTAGCATTGACGCCGATATCCGCAATCTCTATCTTCGTCTCTTGCTGTGATCTTATTTCCTGTGATATCGTTAGTATCCGAGAGAATTATATAGCTTCATTGGGAAGAAGTAACTGCTCAACTGTTCGATCAACTATATACCGTGTCACGACAACCGAGATTTTCTGGTTCAATCGTATCGCTCTTGATATTGCTTGGTTTTCTACGCTCGGATTCCATTGGGGCTCAATTATGAAGACACGATTCGCTGACGGGAGATTGAGACTACTCAACATGTTAGTGTCTTTCTTCAGCATGACTTCACGAGGGCAGTACCCAAAAGCACCAGTTCCCGTAGTCATGATTAAAACGGGTGTTTTGGAGTCAGAAGACGAAAACTCATCAAGGATCCTCTGTCGGCGACTAAAGTTGACATCTCCATCGATTCTTTGAAAGGTAATGTTGCATTCATGGAGGTGTTTCTCGATGAGGTCCAATGTGTTCGTCCAGCAGGAGAAGACGATGCTGTGTTGAAACCATAAAGTCAGCCCAGAATTCTACAAGCCATTGATGCAACTTACCTTTTGGTTTCCCACAAATCCACTTGAATATCTCGAATTAGCGCGTTAATCTTTGAGGAGACACCAATATTACGCAAATAGTTCTCCCTCCGAGTATTGGTGTTCGCATTGGGTCCGCAGCCGTTATTGGGTGCACCACTTATAGCACAAATAGGGCAGCCAGATAGCTCGAAGCCTTGAGCTCTCATGAGCTGGTTATTGTCCTCTGCGCATTCAAAACATAGTACATGAGCACAGATTCCTGGGTAAGTTTGGAAGGAACTCTTCGTCATGATAGGCATACACTGTTTACAAACAGAGCATTTGACCTCGCCACTGTTGCCCATTGAACATAACGCATCTTCTCGTTCATCCATCAAATTTCTCTTATTAGTCCATGAAAATGAATGTTGATAAGTGCCATGATTGCAAAGAATCCGAAGCTACAACTGAATTTGAAACATCCCGAAAACTCCGTTTTGGTTTTCTTCGTTGACTCGCTGTTGAAGGGCGCGCTTCATTATTTTCTTCGTGTACTCGTATTGATCCCGTTCTTCATCTGAGAACTGTACTACATGGATTCTGTTTTGTGGTTCTGGCAGATGCAATAGATTTCTTGATCTCCGTAGACACATTGAGTCCATGAGAAGCGTGAGATGTCGGATTGCTAGAGGACGGCGTTCGTTGCTTTCGCAGTCATTGAAAGGACTACCAACATATCGCCGAAAGGTGGTGATATTGTCGAAGGTTCTTACTTTGAGAAATGGGAAAAGAGCCCCAATATCATCCAGCTTGTTTTGGATTGGTGTCCCAGTGAGACACCAGCGTGAACGCGACTTCGATTTGGAAACGGATGAGTTAAATGTTGTTTTTTGCCGTCTTATGATATGCGCTTCGTCGAGGACAATCCTGAACCATTCGATACTCTGCATTGGATTTGGTTTTCTATTTTTCCCAGAACTTGACCTTTTCTCAGTCTCCCATACAATAGTATGATACGTTGTCAGTACAATATCAGCCTCGTCCATCTTTGAGAGAAGACTTTTGCGGTCTCTCCCGTGGTATTTCAAAACATTTAACTTGACTTTAAGGTGCCTGTATTGCAACGTTAGTTGAGAAGTTTCCTCGAGCTTTGAGGTTGAAACAGTACTTTTTTATTTCGTTCAACCATTCGTTTATAAGTACTGGTTCAGTCAGTGGATCGGAGCACATATGAGGGTCTAGTGGGACACACTTGCTGACGGAACCAAAATCAATGTTGCTCTTGATCGTTTCGTCGTTTGGGGTAGAGCTTCTCCGTCATCAACTGGCAAATTATGTGCCCAACGTAGGCTTTCGTCAAGGGTTTGAGTCACTAAGGCCAAAATAGACAAAGACTTCCCCACTCTCATTTCATCAGCGAGAATCCCGCCACCAGTCTCAGGATGGTTGATTCGAGTCTTCAGTTTCGTGATATCATGGCGATACCTAACTTCCTTAGTACGTATGTATAGTTCGTGATTACAGAAGGTTTCTTACCAGCCTTTATCAGCGTCACCCATAGATTTCCACAAGCAATACTCGGGAGACACGGGTCCATCTTCCCGTTGAGACATAAGATCGAGAGCTTCTTGTTGATGGCTTTTCAAGTTTTAGCTCTAGGTTCAATTTTGACGGCGGAATGTTCCGCGTTTGTGCTCATATGGAAATACATAACTTGGTGCTATGTATTCGATGAAGTCATCATTTGGAGAAGATAACAAAAGCTGTGGACCTACGGTAAAAGTTGTGTTTCTAAACGTTCATCTCCCTGTACCTGATTAAGATGGTTTCCTCGCGCAAGTGAGGCGTAAACCTCGTTTATTGTTTTTTGGAACTGCCCTTTTTCATCGATCACAGTTGTACGCTGTTTTCCAACCTCTAATTTGTTTTCAAGATCATGGAGCTGCATGTCAGAATACTTCAACTAGTGTGGATTGTTGTAAATGACCCCACGTCGGAGAACATCAGGTCGTTGCAAGTATGTTTTATGTTGTGATAAATGGTGTCCGATTTCTTCAGCGGTATCTTTTGGTCCATAAATATTGATGTGAACCCGTACCAAGGCGTCTTTGGCATTTATTGCCCTTTCAATTGCTTCTCTTATCTGTGTAGTAGGACCCAGTGCATCGAACTCGACCGAAGGCTTATCTAGTAAGTCTTTCAAAGAACTTGTAGTGTGAGTATTGAGGGTGCCGAATGTGGAGCCATCTGGAAATTCCAAGACAAGTCGATCGTCAGATCCAGTGAGACTAAAGCTGTCAAAGCCCTCCTCAACAGAGCCATTGCCTGCTTTAAGCTTTGCCTCTACATCCGGCATGTCACCTTGAACTTTTACGGCGGCTCTGTGAATCTGTATATTATTAGTAAGTAGTACAGTAATATATTCTTGATTCCGTCCTGATACGGTTCACTCCCAGGCGCGAAAGGCTTACCATTCCGTAGCATATTTGCTCTGGTGGAGGTGTAGGAGCTTGGCCGGTTGTAAAGAGATATTGACTTGTCAAGTCAAGCTCCGGACTCAAATTATGAGATAAAGGAAGTAGATTATGGGTAGCACAAGACTCTATTCCATCCCCAGGGTCAAAAATCGCAGAGTTATTCATCTCCAATCCACCATTTTGGGCGGGAAATTCTACGCCGGCAAAATCGGTGCTCAAAACCTCGTTCCACAAGTCTGGCCAAGAGAGGTTGTTCAATACAGGTACATCACTTTCTTCGTCAGCTTGTATCATCATGGAAAAGAGGCTCTGGATACTTGAAGTTAAATTCTCTTGGATCGAAATCTTTCCGAGGGGTCTGATAACCGTACGAACCATTTTCACTACTTTCTGGATTCAAGAGGCGCTTTAGCGAAGTCATATCGTTTGCGTAGTTTTCCCAGACCAATACATACGATTTTCCTGTTCCCATTCTTGCGAGCGAACTCCCTTTGATTTGTATCAAGACCAGGCCTTGCCCACTGACGGGGTTCATGACAGCCTGAGCAGGGGTGTAGGTTGCAGGCCTGTATTGGTTACATCGGTGTTGTGATTAATCCTGCCCTGCGACAAGAAGAATCCATACCAGTCTCGATTACTTGTAGATTTTACCTTCCTTCGACTCTCTCCACATCTCTACTTCACTTTTGGTACGGGTTCCACATCGACGATAATATGTTCGATCACGCCCTTCGGCCATAATCTTGGAATGTTGCTCCATCGAGCCTTGTCTTGAGAATGCCTTATAGTACGGTGCTTGAGACAAGAAAAGTGGCAGCTCATAGCGTGCCACCTCGTTCTAATTTCTGGTATAATTTTCAATGAGAGAAAGTATTGGAACATTTGGAGTGTTCTAAGACAAAAACACGGTTAATCTAAATAGATTCCTTACTAGAAACTCGTCTATCAAGGTAGAAGACTGATGATATGCTTACCGCCTATTCTCTTGTCGACTGCTTCGGAAAATACTATACGCAACAGTACCACAGTAGATGCCCCCTAAACTAAAATGGCGTCTTTTTGGCCAGCCGTTTCGGTGACCCAATGCAGTACAACTGTATTGGGCGTTTCTGCTCGCAAAAACGGGTGTCAACAGTTCATGCAGGAGGCTGCGCAATAAACTTGCATCCATGCTGGATGCACTTCCAAGAGCCTCGCCGAAAACCTCATTTCGTGAGCACACCGAAATTGTCTTCAGCTCCATAATTGAGGCATCAATCCCTTAGGTTGATTTCCCCTCTTCATCTCAGTCATTTCATATCCACCCAACATAGCGTATCTGCTACTACTTTCTTCGTCATGTCTTCCATTAAAGACGCTTTCGAGTCGATTCTAGACGATTTCAAAAAAGATCTGACAAAGAAAGAATTAGATAAATTCCAATTTGCGACATTGAAGTAATTTGAGAAGGTAGCGTTAGAAATACAGTAGGTACCTCTCGGTTTACATCTTGCTTTTCAGGTTGTTTTACTCGAATGAAATGATTTTTTCCCCGTGAGAGATGGACTTTTCTTTCCCAGTTCGCCTCAATCCTATTTCTTATGACTGAATCTAGCAAGGCTGACTTTGAGGGGGCAAAGAAAGGACCAAGAGAACACTAAAAGCATGAAAAATATGGCTCGTATCAAACCCTTTCTCGAAGCAATGGAGCAGTTCGGAAAAGTGATTGACGTCTTTCTTAACGCCTCTCAATTTGTATGTTTTATTTGGGGCCCATTGAAGTTTATCCTACAGGTACGTTTTTATGAAATTCAAGTCTCTCGTTTCCCTGAGGGCCTTGAAGAAGCGTACGTATCCACCCAGGCCGTACCAGGCATTTTATCTTACCTTTATGCAGTTACCAAAGAATCCTTGATCGCATGCAACGAGACCTGTATCCTCCTCAATGGTTGATTGCAAAAAAGCTTCTGGGTTGGGTGGTCTGCTCTAAAAGGTCACTTAAGTGGAGGGAGATTCAAGCGGCAACGTCTATGAATCTGGAAACCCAGGAAATGTATTTTGGAGAAAAGAAATTGCGGAGTGATATCCAGGAATATTGCGGGTCTTTGATTCAGGTCAACGGACATCAAGTAGAACTTATACACACGACAGCAAAAACGTAAAACATTCCCTTCTATTTTCTTTTCACATGTGTTATTATCACACCGTTACTCACAAAATCAGAATATGTTCATGCATCATTTGTTGAGTGCAATCTCACAGGAATCTGCCTCCAATACCTTACATTCGACTGTTTCGATCTCGAAACTGATGACGAGTCTGTCAAGAGAGATGCCATCAGCGGTCTTTTGTCATTTCAAGATTGCGCCATTGCAAAATGGATGGATCACGTTCAAGCAATTGTTCAAACTCCCCCGGAAGGCTTTTACCAAGGTGACGGGTTTAGAGAAGCCTTGGACACCGTATCAACGGGGATTGAAGAGTTTTCCAATCGTTACGAAGAAGACGTACTTCCAAGAGGAGATTTACTCGAAGAAGCAATTCAAGACTGCAGGCAGTTCGAGAAATATGACATGCATGAGGGTCTTTTGAACCTATATAATTATATTTATATTCACAGCAAGAAAGATTCTGTGGAGCGACATAAAGGTCAGCATTAATTCCCTCAGCGAAAGCCTCGCGCGCAACCGAAGAATACTTGAAGGTCTTCTTCCTCCAAAGACGCAACCGGCCGGAGCAATTGACCAACTCACCGAATTCTATGGCGAAAACCGTTTCAAGTGTCCAAAAATAGCTTGTTACTACTTCCATGAAGGCTTCAAGGATGCCAAAACCCGGGATGGACATCTTAAACGCCACGATCGGCCCTTCATTTGCACCTTCCCAGACTGCTCTATCACCGTATTTGGATTCGCATCCAAACAAAGAGCTCGAGAAGCATGTCAAAACCTATCATCCCAATATTGAAGAACTAGCGATTAGATTCAACACAAAAGCGAAGCCTGTCGCTGCGACACCATGGTAATGCCATATTTGTCAGAAGAAGTTTACAAGAAAGTTTCATCATACTAGTCATATCAGGAGTCATATGGGGGAGAAGCCATTCCCTTGTCCAGAGTGCGGAAGAGCTTTTACAAGGGCAAATGATATGAGGAGGCACGAGAAGACATGCATTTTGGGAAGAGATAAAATGAGACGTGGCATTAACTGCGGGTTGCAACATTCAATCAATTTCAATATCCTTCATAAAATCACGACAGAGACGTATGTTGACTGATTCCCAACTACCACGTAGTTCGTTATTGCTCTAGTCCTTCGAAATTATGTAAGGATTTCGTGCAGCGCTAGTGCTGATCTAAGGATTATTATGTCAAAAAGCACCATCCCGAACCTTTTACCGGGTTAAGTACTCACAGTCTTATGTTTTATTTTTTCGGCCAAGTTTTGTTGTCGGATTAAGCGAGACCTCCTTTTGCACTCTGGCGTGTCGACGCTACGGAGCGAGCAGCCTTGGATCACCCACTTGGCACAACGTATGGAGATTCAAGAATGAAAGAGAGGAATCGGTTATTGAGTGGTCCGTGTTATATTATACTCATTGTGCATGCACTTTCCCCTATTACTCCTGGTCTCCCTTATACCCACTATCCACGTACTCAATCCAAAGTCTCCCAGAGGTCTCCCAAGCCATCTCCCTTGTCCCAATATGCGATCTATCTATGACCTTACCGAACTGATATGTTTCGCCCAGAGATGCGATTGTAGGATTAAAAGAACATATGAATTTAATTGTGGTAATTTTATGTGTCATAGGATGAGGTTCAGGTGGGAAAGGTGGAACTTGAAGAGCCTAAGATATGACGCGAAGTTTATTATCCATTGTCCAATAATGAGGTTACAGTGAAAATTAGAGCTTTGAAGTAAGAATGGAGAGAAATTGAGAAGAGGACAGTTCTTATTGTAGTTGGGAAGCATTTTGTATAAGTTTAGAAGTTGTTATGTTGTTCTGGTTTGAAATGTAATATATACTGGAGATCTCACCTAATGGCTTCTTGTCTATAGAACAAAGATGGAAGGGTTTAAAAATAGCGTTTGTCTGAATGCTTTTTTGTTCATGTCAATGAAATAGGGCCACACATCCTGGCATATCACCAATGATAATCTCAAGACTTTTCGTTTCACGTCCTGTGCTTTCCGTAGACACGGTGTTTCATGCGTATAAAACTGCAAGAATGATGCTGAAACCTTCAGACATCGAAACAACATGCATTTCAATCAAGACGGATTTAGATAATCGGTTTCCTCTTTCAAACACACTCCTTTCTAAGCTACCAAAACAATATTTCCAACACATTCTTACAAACCATTCAAAGTATCTAATTAGCCAAATTCAACCCATCCATATACTCCTTCAGAGAATCAATCTCCGCACGTCCTTCCCTTTCGACGAACATCTCCAACACCCCCCTCAATCTCTCTTTCACATTCTCCGCCTTCTCCTGGTCCATCAGCCAGGTGAAAATTCTATGAACAACCATATTCAACTCCCCTCTCCTCTCTATCAACTCCCCATCCTCCTCAATAATCTCCACCCTGAACTCCTCGTACAAAGCCTTCAAGAATCTCATGCACCTGATATGGAACGTGAAGTAATCAAAATTCAGCGTATAGGCTTCTTGCTGCAACCGAGTACACAACGCGGAAAGCAGTTGTGTTTCTGTTAGCATTTGATGATTTTCGAACTGAGTTGTCAGATCCTTTGTGGATACCTCTCTTGCACTTGGTGTGGTGGTAAATGGAGTTTTGGGAAATGCATTCGCGTCCTTGAGAATTTTTTGTACACCAGTGAGAGTTTCGTTGATCTCTGTGGATGCGGTATGGGAAAGAATATGTTCTACGAGAGGCAGGTTCCGAACGGGGGTCGGCTGTTCAAAACAAAAGCGTTCGTGATAGAGTGCGGAGACTTTCGATACTATCCCTATGCCGAACTCGTTTTTGTTGGCAGTAAGGTAGCCGCCGGGCGTGCTAATCATATTGGTTCTGGAAACGATCGTGGATGACTCTCTAACAGTGTAGGGAATAGTGCAAACTGCGCAGTTTTCAGTATAGTTTCAAAGTCGTAAAACTAACTACGGTTTTGGTGTTATTAGTAAAACTGTAGTACAAAAACTAGAGAACTAACTGCAGTGCACTACGATAGTGTAATAAAACTGAGCGTGTTCCTACCTTATAGGAGGACCCGGGGGTTTTAGGACCGTCCTATAACCGTTATATAATAATTAAAAAAATATAACTTAAGTATTAGTAAAAGATAACTAGCCCTTGACTCTCCTATCACGCTTATCGAATAGAAACTATTATGTCTAGTACTAGTTTTACTACGATTAAGGATTCCATAATTATTTATACTAGTAATCGTTACCCTAGGGATAATACTTCTTAGATAATCGCTCCGTCTTTAGATAACCGTCCCAGGAGCGTTCCGACAGCGTTCCGACAGCGTTCCAGGACTGTCCTACGAGCGTTACCTAGCTGCTTAGTAAGCGGTGCGCTAAGACTAGGAATGCCTTCACTTGTTGAAGGTACTCGCTCACCCCCTGGCCGCCCTCACCTGTGTCAGAGCCGGCGCATGAAACGTAGCGCAACCGCACGCCAGTGTGCGCCTGAATCAGGCGCGCCCATCAAAATCGCCCGAATCGAGCGAATCCAAAACTTAAATTTATATAGCGTTGAGGTTGAGCCTATAGGAGCAGTACCGAGTACTTGCATTTGTCTGTGCGGCCCCTGCTCCTTGTAGTATCTAAGAGGCTTCCCGAGAACTGTCCTAGAATTGTCCTAGGATAGTTGTAAGAGATAACTGTTCTCTAAATTCAAATGCTTATAAGTAGCAATAATCGTAGAATAGTTGTATTTAATAATAATTAGCTACTATACTAATTATCCCTCGGAACGATTACTAAGTCGGAATGGTTCTGGACGCTCCTGGAACGCAGGCTGATTAGTAACGAGCATGCGACCGTCGCAAAAACCCCGGGCTCTCCTTTAAGGTAATATAGACGTACTTTTTATTTATAACTTAGGCTTAATTTAATGTTTCGAAGGGCTCTTATATAAAGGAAAATAGTAAGTTTATTACTAAATCTATCTTGTTTATATTACTCCTATAATTATAAGCAACTATCGCCTTATTTTTTATAGACTAGCTTATACGGTATAGAAATGCTGACTAATCTTGCTTAGTCAGCAAATAATTCACCTCAAAGATGTATAACTTATAGAAGAATTTCGATCAATATATATGCTCAGTGCGTAGTACAGTGCAAATTGGCAGTTTTAGACCAATAAACTGCACTAACCAGCCAGTTTATATGTTGCTTTTAAAACTGTAAAAAATAGCCCGTAGTGCACTGCGTAGTGCAAATAGTGCAGTACAGTGCACTACGCACTGAGCTTATTCCCCACACTGCTCTCTAACTTGTCGATCGGCGATACTTTTTGAGATGTTGGATGCTTTTTCATAGGATGAGGCAAAACCTGAAGGAGTTGACGGTGGGATATCGTCCCAAAAGAAATAGGGAGTCGTATGGATTTGAAGAAGAGTGTCGAGATCATGCCAACGTGGTAAGTTGGGGGTGGTGTGTTGCATTGCGCTATAAGGGTGTCCTGCTGCAGCTAAAGCGAGTCATATTAGTCTATGAATAATCCATTGATATCTCAAGGATTTGGCCATCCTCGCATGCACACAGTGTTTGTATCTGTTCACGATAAACATTTGGGAGGGGGAGGGAGGAGAGGTCAGAAGTATGCGGCAGCAAAAATAAAGCGCCGCCTTGGAAATGCCTTCCATGGATTTCAAAGACAAGATAGAAAACTTACTTATTGCGCCCCACATGTTCGCGTACTTTATCCCCAATTCACTATACATTTAGTTAGCGATTCCATCGGATAGTTGAAGAAGATATGATGTCTTGGGAAGGAACACCCAATAGCATCAAAGATAAAAAGGTAACTCAGGGAATACCCACTTCATCGTTAAAGCAAATCTAAAAGTCATTAAACCACAGAGAACAGGGTTTCGGCGCATAAAAGAATGCTCCTCCATTGGGCCGGTATAACTGTGAATTTCCCGAATTCTGTCTTTCTCATTTGCAAACAAGTCTCTAAAGATCCAACAATCAAGCTCAAGCAATGTTATCTTGATGTTTCTATCCTGTTTGTATTCGAAATCCTTTTGAAACTCAGCGTAATCAGTGAGAATGCGTTTGAAGCGAGTTCCAGCGACACGCAGTTCTCCATGACAATTCCTGGCATTCGTTGCTAAAATGTACTGAATATCGCAATCTGTGATACCTGAGGTCAGCACGCTTCGGCAGAGGAACTCAAAAAAGTGAAATAAGTAAAAGTCAGAAGGATGGTGTAGAACTTTGGGGGTTTCTCGACTCCAGTTCAATTCTAAAGGGATTTAGCTCGGAAAGGGTTGCGACTCACAAATTTGACAGGCAAATACAAACCAAGTTTGAATACGGCGTGTGGCGTGGAATTGTACTATACCATTCGTAAACTCGTCTTCTCCTGGTAAGGTCTTGACTGTGGGATTCCTTGTCTTCTTCGATTTGAGCACTGTCCCTTCTGCGAGAATCTCCATCATGACCTTCTTGTCTGCCGCCATTTTATCTCTGCCCTTCCCACTGCCGTAGTCAGGGATGTTGTCAACACTCGTTGGGTCAAAGACTATCTTGTATGGTGGGGCATTTTCCAACCATTGCGTCAAATCCCAGTATCTATCCAAACAAATCCAGTCAGCCTCTTTGGCAATTGAATCTGATAACCCCTCCTCGTCACCCTCAAACTCAGCTTTTTTCTCGTCGTAGTCAATATGCGCGAGGCCGGACTCGGTGAAAAGAATATCGGCCATATTTTTGAAGTCTCTCAGAGGGTGTCGTCGAGGAAGCATTTCAAGAAGCTCCCTTTCTCCCCTCTGGAGCAGTTCGTAAGCGGTGTTTGTGATGACAGCAACGGTACTCAAACTGAGAAGACCTTCCTGATAATCACACCATCTTTCTTGTATGTACTCGCGCATGGTGTTGAAGTCTTTGAAAAAGCAATATATCATGAAACACAAATCGTCTTCTTCTTCATCGAGATCATTCAACAGTCCGGTCTCAATCAAAACCTCAGTTGCTTGTCGTATCGTGATGGCCTTCTCTGTCGTTTTTGCGGGTTTCTTGCCTTTGCCTTTATTCTTTCCAGATTTCTTTTTGCCCCGGCCCCTCTTGGGGGCTTTCCGTTTCTCTTTCTCGCTCTCTGGATCCGAAGCGTTATCTTCGCTTTCTGGGGCCTCAGCAGCCACGTTTTGGACACTCTCAATGGGAAGAACATCGAAGACATTGCCGTATGACACATCTATGGTACTGCTAGAAGTCGCCATGCTCCCGCTGCTCTTTCCAGTTTTCGACCAACTCTTTGCACTCTTCGAGAGCTCAAGAGTCTGCAGTGCATCCTCAAGCACTGTAAAATAATGAAGATGCCCGTCGTCTGATACTCGATCTCCTCGGCTCTTGTAGAAATGAGAGGCCTCCTTCCGTTGTGAGATGACATCACGGAGAGTAATGGGAGACTCTCTGGGATCTCGGCACCAGACTTGACGATATTTCTGACAATGCTAGGGATATCACTGATTCTCAGATTTTCATTGCCATCCTTGCCAGAAGCCTTTGGAGTCGTTTTATTGATGCCGATTTTTGATGCGGTTTCTCGGAGCCAATTACTGAACTTTTTCTCTCGGGTCTTGTAGGCTTTGTAAGTGTCTAAAATACGAAATTCAGACATTGTGAAGGAGATTGCTGTATTGACGATACAAAAATTGAAGTGCGAAAGAACAGAGACGTGGCTGTCCACTTCACTCCAAGAATTAAGTGGAGAGCCAAGGGATATTGATGTGGGAAGTTTCGGGTGACGCGATGAGGTCAGTGCAAAATTCAAAAAGCAACGCGAAATCCCGTGCTCAAATCGTGACATTGGTGATGATGGTTTTTCAAAAGACTGCTGGGAAAGAACCTCGTTTTTATAGCCTGAACAGGCTGAACAGGATCTTGAATAGGAGAATTTTGATCAGAGAAACTTGTCTTATCCATGTACATATCACAAAGAACGATCCAATCCGGAAGCACGTTTACTCACTTAGATAGATCAAAAAGAAATATATATGAAGTCACAAAATCACTTCAAACAATAGGAGCGTTGGCGTCCTCGCTAACAAAGAAAGTAATACCAACCGTCGTTTTAGAGGGGTAGCTATCAAACGATTTTTGCCCTCAAGCTTCACCCCTTTTTACGATTAAATTTCACTTCCACTCGTTATTTCATTAATAATAGGAAATTATACCAGTAAAAGAGCTTCAGCTTACCGCACTCGGTAATTTTTACATAAGTTCTGTGTAAAAGGAGTTTTAGAATAGGCGTTTCTGGTATTATTAAAAATGTCTAAGAGTAGTCCAAGCTAGCTCACATGTGTTTCATCTAATAATAGAAGGCTCCGGAGTTATGCCTCAATCGAAGCAGCAATCTCTGCTGGGACGCCTACGGTCTCTTTCATGGATATCAATGTTTCACTACCTCAGCCATGAACTTGTTTCTTTTATTGCTAGGAAATCGTATTTGAAGAACCCAAGTACAGCCCCTTCGCACAATTAGCGAGAAACATGGGTTTTATGTAAATAGTGGCACTTTTAGCTTAACATATAGTCCTAGGGTGTTACGCCACTTTTCTGCTTTTTACCCTAACCCTAAGGCCAAATGATTTAGGCATAAAGCTGAAAAGTGCCCTGTTAAGCCATTTAATAGTAGAAATGAAAAAACAAACTACGAAAATGTACAAAACTGCACGAAGGGGTCTGAATTCGCATAAAAAGATCCTGCTAATTAAGTGAAGGGGCTGTAAAGGTAAGTTGTTAGTCGGAGTTAGGGTTGGAATACTAGTTAAAACTTTCTCTGGATATCTCCCAGACCGCCCGGGGTTTTTTTCATAAGATCAAGGATGTACACGACTTTTTTAACGTGAACTTTGGTGCGAGAAATAGCGGGGTGCTAATCCCCTGTTAGAAAACTCCCCGGGCCGGTCTAGAAGATAGGTATAGTAATTTTACTTATCCCAAATCGCTCCTATAACTGCTTTTGTTGTACGAGGGCAAATTATTCAAACCTACTCGTAGATCTTACTTTCCTGATGAATATCACGTGATGTACCTCGAAACATGGCTGTGGAGATCCATGTCGCTGGTTAGCGACATTTAGTCCTATTCCAATCATCCCCCACCTCACATCTCGTGACAATGATAAAGGTAGGTTCTCGCAAATAGCAAAAAATATACTTGAATAGATGTTCTACGCTATCCGAAAATCACCAAAGGGTATCAATCCAAACTCAACTCTACGCAGGCATCTCAGATTTCTCAACCTTTGTCGACCCAACCAGAGAATGTCCCGAATTATCAGCTTCGGAATCGTTCCCAACGGCCTCAACGATTGGACCAGTGTAGTATTTCTTTCCGCTAATATACCAGAAGACTGCGGAGCAGAAGAGGATGAAAACCAGGAACACGGATGCGTAGTTCATCTAGAGATTTTGTTTAGAAATAATGACGTGCATGGATGACTGGGTAAGAAACTTACGGTATCAGCAGCCACAGGACGAACTGTGGGGAGGAGGAAGATGATAGTAACGAATAGAGTCCAGATACAACACCACCCGTTGACGAAGACGCTGTACTTACCCATGTGCCATGGTCCAGGCTCGAATTTCCCGAAAGCTAGTTTACATACAATTGGGATTATGTAACTCCAATCAAGAGCAATAGCGCTGTAAGATTAGTCAAATGGTTAGCGAAGTCTCGAATGCTTCAATATCAAATTCGCATACCAAATATTGAAAACACCAGCAATGGCGGCATATGATCCAAGACCAATCAAATTAATCAGAATACAAAAGAAAACGGATGTCCAGACGGCATAAAGAGGAGTTCCAGTAAAGGTGTTTATTTGTGTCCAGACGGAAGACGCCGGTAATAGACGATCTCTGGAAAATGCGAAAACGGTTCTACCGAGAGCTTGCATGGCAGTGAAGCATACGAATTTAATAATGATGAAACCGCAGACGGTAAAGAAGATACCGCCAGATTTTCCAAGACTGTTGTAGTAGAGTTGTGCTACTGGCTGGGCGAGGGGACTAGCCAAAATTTCGTTAGGGTCACCCATACAAAAGCACAGTACAATGTTGAAGAGAAATCCAGCGAGATAGGTAAAAAGCATTGCCATTGAAATGGCCCAGGGAGCTTTAACTTCTGGCTGGGATATTCTGGGGTAATGTCAGCAAATTACACAATTCTCCGGTTTTTATATAAATACTAACTCCTCGGTAATGTGAGCGGTGGCGTCTATGAATAACATTAGCATTATAAACTCATGAAAACCGAGAATTTAGAATACCATAATCCGTCATGGTCCATGAGACAGACAAGAACCCAAACAAGAAGCTGAATCCAACTGGTGTCCATCCAGAGGTTGACTCGACATTCGTGAAAACGTATTTCGCATCATGCTTGTTCTCAGTTTTGGCCAAAAGAGCGATTGAGCACGAGACCAGAACCAGAACGTGGAAAATTACATATCCTTTTGTCATCTTTTCCATCCAATATGTTGACATCGAATTGACTAGCCCCGTCAGAACCGTCAAAGCTGCCATCACTCCAATTGTAGTATTCGTTGTGATTTCGTAGTCGAAATCAGAGCCCATCGATACTGCTGCTAAGAGCATCTGTGCAGCTCCATATTCGGATGAAGCTACTCCTGCCACCTGCCCAAGCAAATTTATCCAACCGGTAACCCTATACAATTTGTAAATGCACCGCTTTTTGTGTTTCTCGGAATTGGAACGTACCAGCTAAGAGATGGAACCCATTCTTTTGGGGCAAGCCTGGAAATTGTGAAGTATCTGAGGCGGGGGATTAGTGACTACTCGCGTCGGGCAGCACTGGAAGAAATCGCAGGAAAGGTCGCTTACAAGCCTCCTGACGTGGGGTATGCTGAAACAAGCTCTGCTACCGACAACTTTTGTTCGGCAAATTAGTAGTGCTATTAAAAGGGGGCTAGGTGTGGCAATTAAAGTTTTCAGTGTAAAGTTGCATCATGAAATACATACAGCAATACACATACATCCAGCACCAGAAATCAACCAACACCATACTGCAGCAGCGGATCCTCCTGCAGATATAGGATAGACAAAAGTCGTCATAATAGTGGAAAAGAGACCACTAATGCTGACGGCAAAGGAGAAGGTTGAGAGGTATCCAAACTCTCGCTTGAACACAGGTTTGTAACCGAACTGAGCAGCCAATTGAGCATCGGCATCGCTCAGTCCTTCCAGATTGACTCTCTTGACCTGACCATTAGGTCCTTGTATTTCGACTAGACCGGTACTCTGTTTACGGTGTAGCGCTTCGGGGTGGTCACTTGGGACAACCTGCGGTGCTTGGTCATTGTGAACGACTTGCGGCCCCTCGCTGGGGACGACTTGGGGTGCATCGGACATACTCGAGGTAGAAATGGGTGTCGCGAGGGGAGTTGTTGCTCTGGTATTCGTACCTTTTGTCGCAAGGGAGATTGTTGTTTGACTCGTACAATCACGAACTGCCGCAAATGGGAGGCCAGTTGAAGTACACGACAGTGTACACAGCAGCAATAACACAACGGGGCAAATAAACAAATCGAAAGCGCGCTGGTGAAGGTCTCTTTATTGAAGCCGGCCGAAACGCAGATTATCACAATCCAGATTCTTTGCGCAAAATCAGACGAGGTCGTAATTGAGTAAATGGGAGCGAGGCCTGAATAGATAAGGCAAGGTCCAAGAAGGGCTCCATTGGTTCATGTTAAAGGATAACATGGGGAGGGTGGTGGTGCAAGGAGCGGAGTAAAGGTTACATTTTTTGACGGAATTACTAGCAACCACAGCTTTGGTCAAACTTAGTCAGCCAGTGTGTGGTCTCGAGGTCACTTACAGCCAATAAGAATCTATGAGGCTTTAGGCTCTTTCTCCAGTGAGCCAATAAAAAGAAGGCGGTCAAAAAGATTACCGTTTACGTACAAGGAATCGAAGGATCACCACCCAGCGGAAAAGTCTTTTTATTATGGAAAGATTCTTAAGATTTTCAACTTGGTACTTTATCTCGGTATCAAGTAGACAACGATAGTTTCGTGTTCCATAGGCAAAATCAGTTCCCCATTCTCATAATGCCTAGACTTCCCCAGTCCTAAAAGCTTCTCAGCTCTCTCAGCTTTCTCGGGGTCTGATAAGGTTTGGCAACGGCGCAGCACAATCTCATCCAAATGAAGGCTTACCTGCAGAAAAATGCCTTGTGTCGTCACCCCGCTTTTCTGCGCGGACAAGGCCGAACAAATCAGATGAAGAAGATTGACAGGGGCATGTGGCCGAATCTAAACCTCTGGGTACCTTGTAATTGATACTCATATCCAACAACTTACGAAAGTTAGTGCACTTTTGCGTTTGGACTTTAGTTAAATGAAAGTTTTCTTTTATCTTTAACGTGTTGGGTGTGAGTTGGTCTTGGATCTCCTAGTCCAAGCGTTTCCAGTACTTTTACTCTGATGTTGAAGTTACGAGTATATGATATGTCGACGAAAAACGTCGGAAATAATTATCGAGTTTTGGGGAAAAGTCGTAGGACCCACTTTTTATACTTTTATATCACCAACCGGTGTCCAAATCCCCCTTGTCATTCATCGTCTTCTCCAATTTCCGTCTTTTTCCAGATATCAGTCTTATCTAGTGGCGCATTTCTGTTCCTCTTTCGACGAATAACGGCCCCATATTAACATCGAATACCATTCTGATCAGCGTTCGGCATTTGTAACTCCATTCCATTCTAGGACCCCCCTATGGAATATTCCATTCCAAATAGTATAAGTGTTAAAATATTCTATTCCAAAGGGTAGAATATTTAGAATTCCAGTTAGAATCCTCACGTGATCCGTAAAAAAGTAGTTCCGGTTAGAGTAACTAATAAGAAGCCTAGCCCTTAGCACCATATTAATATTTGAGTTGCATCTATACTATTAATACTATAATTGTGACGGTTATGGTCACGAGGGCTGGATGTCACAGCTCGCTTAGCGAGGCGCTAGCGCGCACGACCTGTATTTAGTTCCCAGCTCTCTCGAGCTCTCCTTCTTTCCTCGTCTTTTGTCCTAAGAATAGAGTGTTAATTGTTCTGAGTTCTACCTGAAGCACGTCTGTCACAATAATATTATGATGTCGCTCTTACACATCTTACTAGGACGCGCAAAAGAGCCTTAAATACTCGTATTTGCGCCTCCTAGCGGTATACGTGCGTCTAGACTGCTAGTATACGTACTCTAAACCTACTTACATTTACCCTGCGCAAAAGAGCCTCAAATATATGTAATTGCGCGTCCTATACTAGCGGCACACCAAAAGTTAGCGCTCTACCTGGTAGCCCTCCTGTCCGGACATTTATAAGCTAGAAGAATTATCATCCGCATTTTTAGGAATACCTCAAAATTCTAAGTCAAAACTAGGTTGAACAGTAGAGTTAATATTTACCATTACCCGTACCCCTGGACTGCCGGTAGACTGTCGGTACAGGTATTCACCTTAGTTATATATAGGAGACGACGATAATTAATAGTTAAGCGTAGGTAAAAATTATAATTTCAGTCCTTACTTTATAACAAATAGAGCTCTCTTATTAGTTAAGTAGTAATATATATATATCCTTTGGAACTCCAAATTCCAAGGCCCTATCCTTTAGAATATTCCATTCTAAGTTAGAGAGCCTTTGGAATATTCCACCTTGGAATGGAATCTTGGAATCCTTGGAATCGTATTCCAAGTGCCGAACGCTGATTCTGATATCGTTTTTTTACATAAAGTTATGCTTTGGTATATTCTTCGTTCCCTCTTCAAGCTCATGTTTATTTTACAGGATTCGAGCTCAAGCCCTGCGCACTGCTGGTAGTAATGCCCTCTTCTTGGGGATGATATGTAACAGTTCGTCTCCTATCCCTCTTAATAACACTTCCTTCAGGTCCATCTCCAAGCGGAGCATCGTCATCGTATCTTCCCGACAGTCTGGACATGATTTTCGTCCCAACCACTGATTTCCTACCTTCCTTTTTCAGTTCTTGTCCTATTACTCTTCGACCAGCTAGTGCTGTTGGTGGTGGTACTTCGCCGTTTGGAAATTGGATATATCCAATTTGAGCATTCTGAACCCTTTGCTTCATTACTATGAAGATGTCAAAACCAGAGATCTCAACAACAAAGGTTCATGTCAACGACTTACCCTTTTGCCTCTGCGATGCGAACTTGACATTCGTAACTGTCTCTCGGTATCTGATCCACTCTTTCACTGCTTCTGCCTTTGGCCAGCCAATTTCCTCTACTGGAAATACACACGCGGGTAATTCAGACGCCGGAGGAAGGGGAAAGAGGTGTCCTGAACGAGATACACGATGCCGTGTCATGTGTTCTTTGAAAGATGGCAGACGATCTCCTACTTTTCCAATCTGACCTGGTTCCTTTGCCCAAAATATGTTAGCTAAAAGCAATTACATTTGTCATGTTTCATGACTTACCTCGACTTCAGGAGCATGAATCGATGAATCGTCTTGGAGATCAATATCTGCTCTTTGAGCCTGAGCAAGCGCCCATGCTGAGAATTGAGCCACAGCCCTATACTGGTATTTCGCGACGTTTGTATGTCCTAATGTTGGTGCAGCATGAGGCGCGCCGTCAAAGACGAGGAGTTGAACATTTGTCGGGGGGTATCTAAGAATGTCCTTCACTGTATCTCCATTCCCTGCTAGGGTTTTGTCGTTTGGTCTGTATTCTTCTGGGTTCGCTGCCTTATGAGCGAGATATATCTGCTCGTCTCGTAGAAGTTCACTTCCTCCCACAATCACTTGTAGAGGACCTTGGGTTGATGTCAGTACAATGAAGCTTGAGAAGGAATGATCACGCACATAGCCCTCCCAAAGAAGCAGCCAAAACCGGTGAAACCAAGGGAATGGTAACGTGGTTATTCTCCGCATACATCTGAATCTGCTCTTTCAATACCACCGTTTCTCCATCAATCTCCATCTCGTAATCAGGTAAAGCCCCTTTATGTCTTGGCCACTTCAGGGTTTTCATCTCATCTGAATTGGGCGGTGGCCATGCTAATGATGGTTTGGCGTGGAAGCCGAATGCAGGTACATAGTCCTGATCAGTGGGGATCAAGATACTGGGAAAAGAGTGCGTTAAGTCTACCCATGGTGAGATCAGACTTGCTCCAGCAGGCAAAGCAAGTCCTTGGTCTCGTAAAATCATCAGAAGAGCTAAGCATAAACCACCGCCTGCTGAATCACCCGCGAAGACTATTGTACTTGGGTCTCTAAAATATAATTATTACTGACAATCTTCGACGGAAGGGGAACAAAAACCGGGAGAACAAACTGTATGGTAAGCAGATAGAGGTAGGCTGCTAGTAAATCCTGCAAAGCACAAGGAAAGGGAAAAGAAGGTGCTAATCGGTATCTCGGCGCGAAAACTCTACCCTTCAGCCTATAAAATATGAAATCAGCATTACACCAGATAAAATCTCAAAATAGGTAAGAAAAGTATTAAGGCAAACTCACTTCCTGGCATGTCTTTGACATTGCGGTCCATGACCCACGCCCCCTAAGTGATAGCCCCCACCATGGATATAAAACATAACCTTCTTCCCCCAACCTCCTGCCCGTTCACCACCTCTCTCCAAAAAATCAGCTCTCATCTCAATCCACTCAGTTTTAAGAACACCCGCACTTCCCTCTCTTCTCCATTGCCACCAAGTTTTGCCGACTAAATTAAGATTCGTCTCACCCAAGGTATTTCGGATATGCACAGCCGCTTCGTCATAAAATTTCGACGGAATGGTGACATCTGTTATTAGGACTGAAGAAGGAGCAGGGGTGGAAATATTGGTTAGCGCGTGGAGGTCCTCAATTGTAGTTGCAAATGTGAAGGCCAGAAGATGGCGCATCAAATCGAGAAGTTCCACATGGCCTGCTTCCTCTTCGGAAGGGTCCTGAGGTTGGTTTTTGCCTTTTAGCTGCGCCGGGTCAGAAATAGGGGAGGTCAGAGCAGTTATTTGAAGGGGGGAACGTACCGTGGCTACGACTGCACGGCCTGCTGGGACCACGAGGCGGGTTCCTTCTATGAAGTTGAATACCATTTCTTTTTGTTTTGTTTCCTGGATCTTCAATTCTGTTGCATAGTTTACATATTGATACCTTTCTTATGTGAGGTAGATCAAAATTAAACACGGTAAGCCAGTGCTTTCCAGACTGGACATGCCTCCCCTGTATACTTTCCATGCAATGAACGAGCATTACCCTCCTGTCAGCATCAAAGATGTTCGTCTAATAGAAGAAACCACAAAATCTGTAACCTTGTGATTCGCAAGAAGAAAAAGGCGATAATGTTTTGTTGGTGGGGTAAAAAGTTCCGGGGGTTCCCGCTCCATAGTGGGGTGCAAATACCCATCAATCTTGACGATGTCGAACAAAGAATGCGCTGCAAAACGACCAACTTGATCATGTTGGTACGTGTCTGTTTCAGGATACGAACACTGCCTGGAATACAGTAAGGATGTGGTCATAAATTGATGAGTTTTGTTTCACGTTGAAACATTTGGCGTGTTGCGGGTCATTAATCAAGCGAGTTCATTTAACTAGTTTACTTTGTCGATGCGAACATTTAATTCAAGTAGTCCTAAGGTATTAAAAGCCATAAGTTTTGAGTAATCCTCTCCACAAATGTCAAATTTCCAGGCAGCGATCCTCCTTAGATGATTATCTGAGGTTCCTCCGTTGGTCTTTGCTTTGAGACTCTGGGATTAAAATTTTATGTGAAGTAATAGAATGACTCTGGAATTGCGGAGAAAGATTGGTACTGCACATTCTATATATATTGATATGTTTGGCGTTGAATAACTGATAGAAGTTTTAGCCCTGTTTGTTTTCCCTACAGAGTAATACTTATACAATAACAAGACAAAGTTTATGAGAACTAAGCGAGTTTTCAAGTGTGTTTCAACGATTTTGCATTTGCTATCAAACAATAGTAAAGAAATCTTACAACATACCAAGGAATTCCTATAAAGGCTCACTCCATCGCAGTTCGATGAATAGATGGTCAAGAGGTCCCCAGAAGGATCGAATAACGATGAGAAGGATTGCAGATACGAGGATCATTCTTGGTCGAAGGGGCAAACCGATAGTACTAGTACAATACCAAAAGCAAAGTTTCAACCATAGGAGACAGTCGTTACTCTGCACACACATCTCTTAGAATAAAGCTATTTTAAAAGCGTCGTACAACCAAATTAATTACATAATAGCTTAGAGTAATTTTTAGCGGTTGCTTTTTATTAGCCAAGGTATACTACTAAAATTATTCTACTTGTACTAGAAGTTTAGTATAATAACATTTTATATAGTGTGTACAGAGTAGCGACCACGGATCTTACTCGTATACTTGGATGAAAGAAAACTGATGTGAGTCACTAGCAAGTTTAGCATACAGTGTGGGAAGGACTTGTGTCTCTCAAAAGAGAAGGATCTCATACCTACATCCAGAAGTTGACCAAGAATGCACACGCATTCTGAATGTACTGGATTTGGTCCCTTCTATGGAATGAACCATACCCCATACATTAATCATGTATCTGAACTTGAAGACTCGCCAGATCATCTCATTAGCGGCTTGTGAGAATACATACTCCATACAAGACTCTCACTTCTCTTTTCCATTCACTCCTTTACCCTCCTCTAGGTTCTCAGCACCTACGGCAGGCCGTTTTAAATACCAACACTCAAGTTCCACCTCCCCTCTTTCCCCTTTCGAAGACTTGACAATCTCTCCCTCATACCTCGCCCCCGCTCTCATCCACACCTTCCGACTCGCGATGTTCGCAGGTTGACACTTCGCAACCAATCTTTGAACTGTCCTTCTCTCTAAAAAGATAATTAGCTCACCACCAATCACAATCCAGCAAACCAGAAAGCAGCGAAATACACCTCATCGAACCTCAAAACAAACATAAACAAACAAAATAAACATACCAATCAACTCCCAATAAACACCCAAAAACGCCCCCAACGCCTCCCCCGCATACCCCCTTCCCCAATATTTAACATCCAAAATATACCCCGTCTCCAGACCCTGTTCACTCCACCGATTCGTGCCCACAAGACCAATCATCTTCGGCCGGTCCATTCCATTAGTCCACGGCTGTTCATTCTCCACAACCGGACGGAGAAGCATGGCGAACTTGTCGATGTCGGGGTTGGTGCTGTTAGGCAGGATGGTTTGCATGAATTGGCGCGCGGAATCGAGGTTGGTGTGTGCTGCTACGTTTCTGGTGGTGTCAAGGGGGAACTGGGAATGAGAGGGGGGAAAGGGTGGTTATGTACATGTAGGTGAGGTTCTCGGGGTTTTGCCAGAGGGCGAAGAATTCTTGGGAGTGGGATTCTATGGTTAGTGGTTCGAGCCACAGACGGGGGGATTGTGCTGGGTAGGACATGGGCGGCGGAAGTGAGAGAGAACTGTAGGTGTTAGTGATGGCGATGAGGAGATCTTAATTTCCTTGATAGGGCTCATGTGCGGTACGTGTGGCTATTCTGTGGATTATCGTCCCGTCTGTCATCTTTTAGCGGGGGTCTTCAAGATCCTCACAAAGTCACGACCAGCTACGCGAATACAGTAGAGAATCTCGAGATTCTGGGAAAATAACTCGTAGGTTATCTTAAGACTAAAAGAATTAAATTAGATGCTTAGAATGTTTCAAACAGCAGCCAGAGAATAATTCGAGTGATGAGAAGTGAGAATAGGGTGGACTGTATCAGAGGATATGGTATTCAACCAACCCTCTCACGTCCCCGCTTTCCATAATCCCGGCCCCTTTGCCGTTATATTCCAACTTCGAAATCCAAGACCCAACGACCTAAGATTCGGTACGAGAACGAACATAAAAAACATGATTGAAGTAAGCTGATCACGTGTATTCTCCCTTCAGTGCTGAAATACTGGGGTCTTATTGGTATCTTCATACTATACGAGTCCTAGATTGAAAATGATCTAAATCTTTCTTCCTATTCGTCAGCGTACCAATTAAGGAAATAGCTTGACGCCCACAGACATATTGTAGTCTATAACAACGATGGATTCCTCATCTTATCATAAATCAAAAGTTTTGGAATCCTTTTTCGTTATGAGATTTTGTTATGCAAAGGCAGCTCGATACTAAAACAACATTTCATAAAACACAGTCGAGCTACAAGAATCAATCATGGTCCTCGATTCAGTTAAGAATGTATACAACCAGTGGTTTCCTCCAGCTCCAACATTCACGGAGAAAGATGTTCCTTCTCAGGAGGGTAAAGTCTTCATCGTCTCAGAAGGAAACACAGGAATTGGCTACGAATTGATAAAAATGCTGTACGCCACCGGAGCAAAAGTTGACATGGCATCTCGGTCCAAGGTAAGATCTTCCCATGCAAACATCACACTCCTCTTCAACCCCTCAAAATCAACTAAAGATTTCCATCAGGAAAAAGCAGAAAAAGCAATCCAAACTCTTACATCAGAGACCCCAGCCCCAATAAATAAAGGATCCATCCACTTCCTCTACCTCGACCTCAACGACCTCCTCTCCGTCAAGAAAGCAGTCGAGATCTTTTCCCAACAAGAGTCAAGACTCGATATACTGTGGAACAACGCTGGATCAGGCGCACATATCATCCCTTTCGGCGCATGAACCGTCCAAAATATAGAATCAGTAACAGGCACCATCTGCATCACAACACTCCTCTTCACAACTCTTCTCCTCCCCCAACTCCAGGCCGCCTCGCCATCTCGTGTAGTCTGGACATCGAGTTTCCTCGCCGAAAGCGCGAGTCCCAAGAACGATATTGACTTCACTTCCTTAGAGAAGGGAATAGAAGACCGCACAAAGAACTACGCCGTGGCAAAGGCGGGAACCTGGATGTTAGGACGTGAATCTGCGCGACGGTATGGAAGGGAGGGGATTACGAGCGTGATTCAAAATCCTGGGAATTTGAAGACGGGGGCGTATGATGCGATCGGATGGGTGGGTATGTTATTTATCGGTCCACTGTTGGCGGAGGCGAGGTTTGGGGCTTACACGGAGTTGTTTGCGGGGTTTGGAAGTGTCGGGAATGGAGATTATGTTATTCCTTGGGGGAGGGTGAGAGGTGATGGGGAGTGTCCGAGAAAGGATTTGCTTAATGCTATGAAGCCGGTGGAGGAGGGGGGACTTGGTTATGGAGAGAAGTTGCGAGAGTGGTGTGAGGAGAAGTGGAAGCCTTTTATTTAGTTGTGAATGTGAATGTTTCTAAAATTGTCAATATGAGGAAGGAACAGAAAAGACGGCCTGGAAGACACGAAATGCTAATACAAACAAGCGATAACGTTCAAGATATGGGTTCTCATTACACACTTGTCGAGTTAAAAAGCGTGTGTACAAGGGATATTTATATAGAGCAGCGGGTGATTGTAAAAACACCTGCACCTGATTCAAGCACTAACGATGGCTGATATTGTACTCCTTTACCGCCCCCAAAAGATTGGTTCCTTGTAATCGTACTTTTCCAAGGTCACTTGACCATTCGATCAAGGCATATTGAGCCTTTCCAACATCGGGACTCCATGCAAAAGTCCACAACGCAAACCTCTCCGCATGGCGCACATCGAGAGCCAAATTAACAGAAGCCGGACAAGAAGTTGCTACTTTCTTCCATCCTATAGGATCCTGTAGGAGTGTGACTCATAGAGGCCGTAGTTGGAGGCGATGTGAGAACTTTTCGATGCAGAACAACTTGCGTTGTTGGAGGGTTCTTGAGAATTTGCGCTCGGTAATGGCAGGAAGTTGCAGGTGACCTAAACAAGAACTGTGTCATGTGATTTTGCTCCTACCATCAAAGTTGAAGTACACAAATAAGGAAACCAGCTTCGTCAAATCAAAAGTGTTCATTCATGATTTGATTCAAGCAATGTGGCGCAGTGGAAGCGCGCCGGGCTCATAACCCGGAGGTCCTCGGATCGAAACCGAGCATTGCTAGATTCTCAACGCTACATTTTTGCAGTTTTTTTAGGCATTTTTTGGGTTGCAAGTTGCTTCATAACTCTCTCTTTTGGCTTTTTAAAATTCAAAGTTCAACATACGGATAAGGCTTAAGGAAGTGGAGGTGAGGTTCTTTGTGAGTCATGCTTGTTGTGACTGATGTGGTAGGCGGTGAGCTAGCTATGGTGGAACCTTTTGCTTGGTACTCAAGTACCTCCTCCTCTGTAATCATGGAAAAGCTGCTGGCTATTTATTTGTTGACTTTTTGTTGTTGCTTTCTTTGTTTTGTACGTGCTGATTATTTCTTTCAATTAATCAATATTTCACTCAAAACATTCACAGACTTCTAATTACTTTCCAATTGCAATAGCAAAGTAAATTTGGAGGGGTACATCTGTCTGCTGATGCCTAAGTCCTAAGGCCCAAACCCAAACATTGAAACCCTCACCAACCAATGAACCACCATCTTCCACACCCAATCCCCCATAACAACGGAACCCATTCAACTCCAACACCCACTCCGCTCTCCGTAAAATGGAACAGAGATACTCCCCCCCAGCAACCACCTCAACATCCACCTTTCCAACCGACCCTTCAGAATTCGACTCCGACGACCGAATCTCCTTCTCAAAACTCGACAACAAATTCCTACTCGTCGTCTCAGATGGCACAGAATACGAATTCGACGACGCGATCAAGCGGTGGATCCCCGTCGTTGATGAGGCGCTCCTAGAGCAGCAGCAGAAAGCATATCAAGTCGCGGGGGTTGATGAAAATGAACCGGTCGAGGCGATGAAGAGGAAGAGGAAGAAGGAGTATGTTAATGGTGAAGATGTATGTTCCCTATCACATACCTTGTTTTCTTCTCAAGAAGGGGGGATTACTTAAGAGGAATGGGATAGGGCAAATGCTGATGCAATGGATACAGGAAGGAGGACGAGAAAAAAAGGCTCCTAAGAAACAACGAGCGCCCCTCCCTCCCCGCGCAAACACCGCTGTCTACGTAACCGGTCTCCCACTCAACGTCACCATCTCAGAGGTCCACGAGGTATTCTCGCGCAAATGCGGTGTCATCGCTGAAGAAATCGACTCGGGCGCGCCCCGTATAAAACTGTATACCAACGAGAAAGGGGAATTCAAAGGTGATGCCCTGATTGTATTTTTCAAGGCGCCCAGCGTGGATATGGCCATTATGTTACTGGATGATACGGAGTTTCGCATGGGCAATGGGGAGGGAAGTGGAAAGATGAGGGTTATGGCTGCGGATATGAGCTATAAGAAGGTGCAGGGTGATGGAGATGCCGAGATGACGGGGGTGGATAAGGAGAAAGAACGGGAGAGACAGAGGACGAAGGCGAGAGATAAGGCGAAGATCATAAAGAAGACGCAGAAACTGGATGCGCGGTTAGCGGATTGGAGTGATGACGAGCCATCGACCATCCTCGAAACGACTTCCAAGTTTGACAAAGTTGTTATTCTGAAGCATATGTTTACCCTGGGGGACCTGGCTGAGGATCCCGCTGCGATACTGGATATCAAGGAGGATATTAGGGAGGAGTGTAGTAAGCTTGGGGAGGTTACGAATGTGGTTCTTTTTGATTTGGAGGAGGATGGGGTGGCCAGTGTACGATTTACGGATGTGGAGGCCGCGAGGGCTTGTGTGAAACTTATGGATGGGAGGAGTTTTGATGGTCAGAAGGTGGAGGCGTATATTTCGGACGGCAAAGAGCAATTCAAAAAGTCGAAAAAGAAGGCCGAGGAAGAGGAGAAGTAATCTAATGGGATCTGGGCATTCGAGAAAGTGTGTTGGGGGAGGATTGTGAAATTACTGTATATTATTTACATGATACCAGGCTCACAGTGGGCTAATTTATTTCGTCGATAGACGGGTTTGCAACGGCGATTTTGTTTTCTGTATGTATATTCAATATGTATTGGGAAATACCATTGGTATTAAGGACACAACTATAGACAAGTGTGAAGCCCGTCCGTCACCTTGGCCATTTCTATATTTCGTTTCGAAAGGCAACTCATTCACCTTTATATAAAAACTCTACTCTCATTCTTCATTCCATCCTCTGCACTTTCCCACGCCATTAGCAACTCTATCATTCACTACCTACTATCCTCCATTAGATTCACTCCCCCTCCTCCCTAACATAAAACTCACTATCCCAACCATTTCCCCATCCACCCTTCACTACATCAAATCCCCAAATCCAGATTCCCAAATCCAAAAACAAGCTTCTCACCAGCTACCTCTCATCGCAAATTCACCTTACAGTAATAGAACTCCTACAGTACCATCACCCCCCAATACTCACACAGTAAGATACCTTACTATAACATACCATCCCACAATCCTGCCCCTACAACACAAAACCCGTCCAACCCAGCAACGCCATGCCATGCCCCGCCCCCAAAAAAGCGCCCCAATTCCAGGGTCACGTTCCAGTTCGGGGTCTACTCGAGTAGACCATGATGCGTAGGTCGACACCGGTAGTACCTCGTTTCATCTGATCTATAACAACGTTCGCCTCGTTCTCAGGACCTTTGCTGGGAACTGGCTGCAGCCTTTAGGCTCACTACCAGTAGTTTGGTTTTCGGGGTTGGGAGGTTTTCAGGTACGGAGGTTGTTTTCGGGCATTGATTGGATTTCTTTTAGGTGCGGTGTTGGCTTTTGGGTTGGTCCTCCGTTGCTGAGCGAGGTAGTAGGTGGGGGGGTACTGTAAGGAGGGACGTAATATGTGATAAGTGATAGGACCAAAAGTCTTATATCATGGGTACTGTATGGTGCTAGTTGTTGATAAGCAGTTGGAGTTTCGTCGGGTACGGTACCATATGGACTTTCCTGTTTTGCATACTGTAAAAGTAGACCCTTTCATGCGTAGGTGAAGATCGTTCATTTGTTGTAAATACCAAACAAGAGATAGGATATTCATGGTAAATCATACTTTTGATCCGGCATTCTAGGTAGCTATCATGAACAATCTAGGTAAACACATCGCAAGCCCGCGAGGGAGCTACTAGTGATCAAAAGCATTAAGCAGAAGACAGAAGCCCAAGAAGAGCAACAATGGTGTATCCCAATCCCAATCCCGATCCAATCCCAATCCTGAACTCCACAAAATCCCTCTAACCCAACCCAGTACAATCCCAAATCCCAATTTTGACAAATTCATATCTCATATCTCCTAAACAAGACCATGACCATTCAAAGAACGATTCAGTCTAAAAGGCCCAAGTCATCAAGCTCAAACGCAAGAGGTCTATCGCTCCCTTTCTCCATTAACCTCCATCGCAAATCGTTCCCCCGACAACCAAAAACCAGCCGCCTCAATGATCTTAGCCACAACATCCAACTCGGCCTGATTCCTTGGGGCATAAATCATCACAAAAGTCCTAGGAACAAACTGCGTCATCCAGCCTCCCTTGGCCAGTGGATGACGCTCCCCCCATCCTTTCTCTAAAACAATCTTCGCATCGTCGGGGTGGAGGTTGAGATGCATACTCCTATCACTGTGGTGGACATGTACGATCTCGCCTCTGCACGTCGTGTTGATGGGGTTGGTAGCAAAGAGTGCTAGTCCCTTTTTCTCGAAGCAAGATTGCCCGACTTGAAATTTGGTTGGATGGAGGGAAGGGATGTTTCTCAATGAGGAGCAGAGGACTTGGTACATTTTTGGACAGCCAGTTTGGTCGATTTGTCGTTGGGGGGCGATACCTGCGATTCTTGGTCGGGGTCCATTTCTTGTTGGCACCCAAGAGTTTGTGCGCTGATAATAACCGGTTGCCGGGAAGATTCTGGATGGACATTGGTCGGGTGTGTAAACATCTTTCAGTGCTACTAAACGCAAGAAGCTGATTTTCATGTAGCCAAGGAAAGTTGATGGTGTCCCGCCAGGACCGAGCGAGAGAAAATTCCAGTAATCTCTATAGATAATAACTAAGAGGAGAGTGACGAAGAGGAGAGTTGAGGAGAGAATGGGTTCTAGTGTGTTGATGCTGAAGCACATGATCACCATTGCGAGGAGGAGGTTCAGGCCTGACAGGGTGATTTGAGCAACTTCTTGTTGCGTGGGCATGAAATGAGGTTCTTCTTTTTGGTCCACTTCGGTCATTCCGCTACCAGGGTAGTCTTTCGCGGTTTGTGTGATTGCCATCATCTGATAGGTGTTAGTAAAAAGTTCTACACGGTCATTTTTGAAGATCTCTTAAATCGTACCTTGGAGGATGGAGGTGTGCCAGGAAGGAAAGAATGACGCCTATCAGTTTCAGTAGCTTCAATGCATATAAGACTAGCAAGAGCTGAAAGAAAATATTCTAGCAGTCACGACAAGATTTGGGGGGGAAATATAGTATGTGTGTGGATGGTGAATGGCGAAGCTGGAGCTTGGAGCGTGTAGGGGGGAGTGTATGGTTCAGGCGGTATCTTCTTGGGATACACAGCAATACGACGGTCTCAATGTCTCAACAATAGTATTCTGAGGCACTGCACCAAGAAGTGGTTTTGTATTGATGACTGGGTGGACAACCAAGAGCACTCTTGTACCCTTTTCCTACGTGGTCTGTGATGTGATATCCACGGCAATGACAAGGAGACAAACTCTTGAATCCTTCGTGAGTAGCTTCAATAAAAAAGTGTTGAGGAAAAGCCGGAAAGCCTGTTTTCAATTTGGATGTAACAAAGGAAGATTAAAAAAATCATCGATCGGAGAGATGAGGTCCTTTTAAGTTATCGAGAGCTTTCTCGAGTGGGGTTCCCGTGACCAATGAACAGCAGATGAACTTAATATGGAAAGACCCACCAAGTTCGTACGAGTGGAAGGTTCAAGGTTCTCACGATGTGCTGTCCTCCGAACGTACAATTTGAAACAGTCTCCCATAACTTTCATCCTGTGCATGGGGTTTGTTGAGGGGGGCATCGTTGCAGTATGTGGTAAGAGCGGTGGGGCAGGACTGGAAAGTGCACACTACCTAGCATCCGGAATCGGGGTAGTCACGAGCCTGGTCCAACCCCAAGCGAGAATATCATAGGATGAAGCAGTCGGGGCGTTGACATCAGTTGACATGACACCAATCAGCCATCGACCTTTATTATGTTTCCCCAGTATTGCCGCTTGGCTGTTCGTGGTGGGAGGGCATATAGCAGATAAGCAATGGGGAGGGAGAGGTACCGCCTATGCTAGACGCTCGTCTCGCAACTTGTAACGAAGTAGTGTCTTCGTATGCGGACCTAGTGGGCTGGCAGGAGCAGGGAGTCGTAGACCATCCCCTCACATCTCAACTCCAGGAACGGACCAGAATGGAGCAAAATCTGGACATCAGAAGAATCAGAAATCTGAAAACTTGCCTAGCGAGCTGGGTCACTGGTGGTGGAAGAGGTCGATTCAGTGGCATCCTTTGATTGGCAAAGATACCGTGGTTGGCGAGTTGGACGCGGCCAATGCAGAAGACTGACTTTAAGATTCAGCTGCTGCCCAACCACAAGCCCGCGGGTAGAGTCAGAAATGTTTATTTGGACCAACAGGATTCGAGATGTATCGTCCGCAGTAGCCATATGCAATGATACCGTACGGAGTACTTGTAAATTGGGAACTTCCCGTATCGAGCATTAACGAGAGTCCCAGGTGTGGCCTGCAGCTACCTGCGTTTCCTGTTGTTTAAGGCGGGTGGTTGATGATTTGGAGCTGTCCTTTGTTAATCGTTCATGGTGTTTCCCTGGTGGCAATTCCTCCCCTTGGCGCAATTCAGTTGAGCATAACTCAAAAATCCAAGACCAATTGATAACGAAATGCGAAAGGTAAATGTTCTTTCGGACGTGCTGGAATTGGAACCATCACCTGTTGCTTCAAATTGTTCGTAAATCAAGCACAAGCCTCCACCTGCAAGACACCGACGTTTCGTGAGGTCCAGCTCACACATGGTTAAGAAAACCAAAAAAAGCGAAACCACAACCATGAACCACAACCATGTTGCAATCTCAGTATAAGAGTCTCTTTTGGGGATCCGAGGAACGAGGGAAAAATCCACATCGAGACGAGAGCACTATACTAGATTGACTATGTTGACTATGTTGGGGTTAACTACGCCAAAAGTGACCCAAACTAGCGGTGTTTCTTTTCTTTTTATATTTGACCTCAGAGATGGAAAAAATAAGCAGAACCTTTGGTGGCAGAGCAACGTCTGCACTTTGTTGAAAAACGCCTCCTTTCCACCCTACACTATCAATTATACTTTAACCGGGAAAGTGGAACGACTTACAGTTTACAAGGCCGTCTGATAGGACAGAAGGTACCAATTGTGAGGCAACAGACCAACCAACAGCAGACTCTTGCTTCAATGCGACTCTGGTACTTTGCCCTATTGTAGACCTAATGTACGAAGTAGGTACTGCATTTGCATCCACGGTGAGTCTGACGTAGCAGTGGTGGCCATGGCTCTTGTCTGTGCCCCTACAGTAGTGAGGCAGACCATGGCGCCGTGGTCGGCTCAAATCTCAAAAACGCTGCCCTTCTTCGTACGAACGATCCAGGAGCCAGTTGGGTACAATTCCTAGTTCCGTCCATCTGGAACGAATGACATACCTCAATCCAATACTTCCAAGTGCCATTGCAGGATGCATTGAAGTCGATTTCCATCAAGCGGTGTCTGATCAAGCACTTTTCTAAACCAAAAGAACCCTTCTGGGCCTATTCAAAAGCCGACGGAGAGCATTTTGAGGGCAGTATGTCGAAAATGGATGAGATGACGTTGAATTGGAGTTGTCACTTTGTGTGGGGGAGCGCAGGTGGAGTCGTCGGCGAGTCGGCGGTTCGGCACATTCGCACATCGGAGACTTTCCATCACCCGGTCGACCATAACAACCAGCTGAAAAACAACAAATCTTTTGTGCTACTCATATCCCTAAGCACAAGTACTCGAAAACAATCTTGATCTGGGTCTGCAGAGCCTCAAACGTCGATTCTCCAGCACCTAACCGTGGCTGATCTGGTACATTTTAGCGAATCTGTCCATTCTCTTTGCAATCAAGTAAGAAAATCCATCGGCTCATTTGTTGCTCAACCAAAACCAACAGTGCTGCAGCGCGTCATAACATTCCATTGAGAACCGAGCATTCCTCCCAAAATGGCAGCCTTCGGCTCGCAGGCTCCTCTGAATGTCAAGAAACGTCCGACACACGCAAGATACTCTCGAAAAGATCGTGATATCGAAAAGAATAGATACGAAACCGAGTCCAGTTCCGACGATGATGATTCCGAAGACTACAGCTCAGAAGAGGATGGCTCTCCCGTCTCCTCTCGAGGGACATCGGGCTCATATTCCTCCAATAGACCGCTGGTACGGAGAAAATCGTCTGCGGGTTCGCAGCGGCCTTCGCAGACATCATACAAGCTGCCAGACAGAGTGATTCGGTATCTTTGTTTGGGTTTGATTTCTACCATCATAATATTCATAATTACTTTGATTCGAATGAGTGTGGTTTCCTCGCGGAGAGTGGCAGCTGGAGATGTGGGAAAAAGACCGCCGCCTCAACCGGAACCTTGGGAACATTTCAACTTCTTGAGCAGATATTATGGCGGGATAAAAACCTTGGTGCCTTTGGCGGAGAACGACCCAGAATACCCTCTACCGATCGACGAACCGCTTCCTGCAGACAAGACCGGCGAAGCGACGATTGTGGCAGTCCGAGAGACGCCCAAAAGCAAGCCATTCGATGCATACAAGAACCAGAGCTCAGATGCTTATGTGAATGAGTATGGGCCGGTGAAGGAATGTTTCTTGGATGCCGAATCAACAATTAGGATACCTCAATTGCAATACTACCAAGGCAGACCGAGCGGATTTCCCGACAATGTGATGGGCTCTTATGAATTAATTGGATTGCCAGAAGATATTTGCTTCGAACGCTATGGAAGACTGGGACCATATGGACACGGCTATTCTCTGAAGTATGGTGGAATGGGTACTGGACAACATGGGGACGCAGAAGGATCGAGCGCTGTTTGGGAAGACAAGTCCGGGTCTCTTGCTAATCAAGTTGACTTTAGCAAGGTAAACTGGGGAGAGGCACAGAAAAGGTGTCATCAAGCAAATGCTGGTCGATTCGAGAAGAAGGTCGCCGTCAAGGAGCTTCCTACAACGTATTCTATTCTCGATGAAGAAACATCCGCAGGAGAAAAACGAGCGGAGTCGATACCTTCGAATTCCACTAGATTTACAAATAAGCTTCCCCGAACAGCAGTAGTGATCAGATCTTACGATGACTTCCAATACCGTGAGGAGGATATCCTACAGCTTCGGGCAATGATTTCGGAACTTTCGCTCGGATCAGGAGGAGAGTATGATGTTCATCTTCTTGTCCAAGTCAAGGATGAAGCTAAGCATCCAATCTGGGCAGACGAGCAAACATATCAGGAGCATCTCAATGCATCAGTGCCAGAAGAATTCCGCAGCATGACGACACTATGGAGTACAACTCAAATGCTCATGCTCTATCAAGGCATCTTTGACACCTTTGCTCGCGGTCCAGATCTTCCAGCACATGGCTCATACAGAGGTCTTCAGATGGCAATGCAGCACTTTGCTCAAAAACACCAGGAGTATGATTTCTTCTGGCACTGGGAGATTGATATTCGCTACACTGGACACTATTACAACCTATTCTCCCAGATTGACAGTTGGGCAAGAAAGCAACCTCGCAAAGGTATTTGGGAGAGAAGCAGTAGATTCTACGTCCCATCTGTTCATGGATCGTGGGAGGATTTCAAGCAAATGGTAAGAGTGCAAACCGAAATAGGTGCCAAAAGACCCGAAGATATATGGTCTGGTCTCCCAGGAGCAAAGAAGCCACTACCAGCACCCAAAGGAGAAAAGCCAATCTGGGGACCCGAAAGACCGAAAGACCCAGCAGACTGGTTCGAGACAGAATCAGACCCCACACCTATCGGCACATACGAAAAAGACAAATACACCTGGGGCGTAGGCGAAGACGCCGACCTCATAACTTTCAACCCCCTCTTCGACCCTGAAGAAACCACATGGCTCCTAGCAGACGACTATACAGGCTACAACATCACCGAAGGCCCTGTTCCCCGACGTGCCGCAATCGTCACCTCCTCACGAATGTCCAGACGTCTTCTCAATACTATGCACCGCGAAACAGCTTTCAAAAAACACCATGCCTTCTCCGAGATGTGGGCCCCCACCGCAGCTCTCCACCACGGCTACAAACCTGTCTACGTCCCGCACCCCATGTTCGTTGACCGCGAGTGGCCCACCGCCTACCTCGCCAGCGTCATGAATTCCGGCCGTAATGGTGCAACCGGTGGTTCGCGGAACAGCGTTTTCGGTGAACGAGAGCATAATCTCAAGGGCATGACTTGGTACTATAACGCCGGGTTTGCGCCAAATCTTTGGAAGAGATGGCTTGGCCTCAAGGTTGATAATGAGGGCGGCGAGGAGTTTGAGACGGTTGTTGATGAGGGACGGGATGGAAAGGGTGTTTTGGGGATGAAGGGAGGCGAGGGAAGGATGTGCTTGCCGCCTATGTTGATTCATCCTGTTAAGGGGGTTGAATTGCCTGTCGAGGGAGCTTTTGGGGTTAAGAGCGAGGAGGTTGTGGAGAGTGATCCTGCGGCTTGATTTTGGTTGTTATGACTTTTGCGGTTTGTGTTTGGGTTGGAGTCTGGAGCGTGTATATTGATTGATGTTTTGATGTTTGATACGAATGGGTTTGTTTTATGACATTGGTATTTCTTGGGCAATATTGGAAGACTGGCTGGGAGGGGATACAGATGAGGGATGATAGCGATGTAGATCTGAATCAAGGAATGGAAAATGATTCAAATCAAATCCTCGGGTCGGATGCTACTCTGTGCCTCTTGAAGACCTTTCGTTGCGTGCCTTGTCACCATAAATACCGCGGTAGTAGAGGTACATACTATAACCGTCCATATCTAATAAACTCACTTAAAATGAAAGATGTCTCAAGATAAGTACGACTTACTTGAAAAGAGTAGAAGAACAAAATCTCTAGATAACTTTTGTATTTATCGCAAGCTTTTTAATTCCTACATATCATGGACTCGTAGCCTCGCGGTATGAGATCCCTAATTCCAGCTATAAGCTCTGCCATCTCCTTATTCCAGTTCTTTAGCAGGTCACGTGAATCTCGCTTATGCCTGTTCTTGATATCTTTGACTTCGCCTTCAGCTTCAATTGGAGGAGAACGGAGTTTTCGCCATACGACCAGTGCACCCTCGTACACGCGTAACAGAGAGTGAGTCGTACGGTGCTGCAGCGTGTTTCGACTACCACTCTCCTACATGCGGTGCTGACATCCGCGAGTATACTGCTGATAATTTGACAATGGTCTTCGATTGCGTTACCGACACACCGACTATGAGAATGTGCTACGAGGCAATCGGCTTGTCTGGTGGCAAATACTTTGCTATAGAAGCCATAGATATCGTCACCAAATACACGCGGACAGATGTGCTTGCTGATTGGTTGATGGCGCCTATTATTATGGGAACCTGTGTCGAATTGGCAGGGACATATGGACGCCCAGCCATACCAGAAAATAGAAGATTCGGAGGAAAACGGTTTTTGATACTTAAGAAATTATTAAGTGAGGGCGTAATCAATGGTCATCCTCTCGAGATCCGAGAAGGTGGCCTGGCAAAAATTCCTGATTGTATAAACAACGTGCGTGTGCGGGGTGTGCGGGGTGTTCGGGCCAAGAGGCAGGTTGTGTCTTTACTTGCAGAGTACATAGTATCGTGTCAGGTGTATGTACGGTTTAGGATTCGATTGTTCTCAAAGCAAGTATTATGTATGATGTTTGAGACTGCTACAGTAATATGCTTGCACTTGATATCGACATTCAATGTGACTAGGCTTAGCTAGTCCTCATTAAAACGCGAGAACTGATTATGTTGGCGTCAAGTAGCTGTATGGCGCTCATAGCCTTGAAGACTTTTCTATGAATATTAGCGCTTTCCTTGAGGGTGGATATATACTCTAAGCACTCTGTTAGAGCGTAATGTATACTCAGATTCAGACAGTGCATTATGAACGGGCTTCCTCACACCCAAAGCCTGGGATTTAAGATTGCACGTCCACTATGATTTAGATCAACCATTATAAATAGCTTTACTATTTCTGTTTTGCTTATGTTTATGCATGCATTCGTATGTCAGGTGCTTAAACTTCTGAAAATTCGCCATATCTACAGTTGCATGTGATTCGAACAATGATGAGAAGAGAAGGAAAATCAAAGCGGATGTGGTATTGCTGAGACAGCGGTTAGAATTCTAGGAAATTCTGTGCTTTAGCCAGCTGGCTATCAATCTGAAAATTTATAAGGATTGTTGTCAAAGTTTTCGGATATTCTTCCCTTTTTTAGTGTAGTTTGTTTTCTATCATCCTACCTATACCAAGCACGCTATAGACCAAGAAAGCGCCAGTCAATAATGTAGCCCCTTATTCGCATAGCGAGTTTTTAATCAGTCTAGCTGTTTCAGCTAATTCAGATAATCAAGTTAAGATCCTAGGACAATTAAAGGAATTTCCTAGGAGGCTTAAAATAATTACCGACGGTTGCCCTAGAATAGAGGAATAGTAAGAAAACATTTTACTGCCGCTTGTTTTGTTTTGTCCTTTTCAGCTTACATGAGGCACGCTAGAGTCATTGTGGATGACATAGCACTCAGCTTCTTCACCAAACCTTTTAGGTCCTATGATGTAGGTCAGTACCATTACTCGCCACCACCACTACTAACTACAGTAGCCTATTACCACAGCTCTCAACACCACTATTCAGCTCCCCTGAAGTTCAACACTTAAACCAAACAACCTCAATTCTTTCCCCGCCATTCACGCTGCGACAATGCCATACACTGAAAACTTTCACTTCAAAATGCCTCGTTTTCTCAAGCCAGAGAAAAAAGGCTCGCAGCTGTGCTCATATCCCAAGTTGTCATATTATGCAGGATGGTCGATATATATCCTCAATGTATTTATCCTTTCCTGGGCGGGATTTTCGATACGAGACACAACTTTGCAACCAACATTTCAGCATCTTGATCCGAACCAAGGCCTTGCATTTTCAGACTACAACTGGGCAGCGTTGAGAGATCATTTGGAAAAGGTGATTTTGGATCGGGTTGGCATCATAACTGGGTTATATTTTGTCCTCCATCAAGGTAGCCTCTTGTACGGGTACCTTCTCGCAAGACAGGGATACAAAGCTGCGGATGGGAAGCCATCCGGAGACGCAAAAATGGTGTGGCTGAAGGACAGAATTAGGGAGCATGATACTGGATGTCGCCGGTACAATGTCTTTACGGCCAAGCTACAAATCTGTCACTATCTTGTGAACCCCAAAGGATACCACGGCCTGGTGTTCTGCTACAGAGAGGCTATATATACAATTCTTTGGCGAACCATTTTTACATACAGCTACATCCTTTTCTTTTATTCTGTCCCCACTGATGGAACTATATTATCGACTATAGTTTTTTATGCCAACTGGTCTGGTGTTATAATATGGTTGTGGGTGACTTCGAGCTTCGCGGCGGCTAATGGTTGGTATGCGGGGACAGGGAGATGTATCACAGAGCTGAGGAGTGAGTTTGAGAATTCGGAGAAGTTCTTGTGCAAGAGGAAACGTATGGAGTGTTGGATTGAGAAATTTCTGGCTGAAGAGAGACCAGATGCTGGAGAAGATTTGGAGTCTTTTGAAAAGTGTATTGAGGATGTTTTCTTGGGCGTTCAGCAGTGATTTTCGTGTCACTCATGAATATCAGATAAAGATATAGGCACTATCTGGGCGCTTGTCATTTTATAAAACTCCACAAAAGGCTTGGTTCTTTCTAGTAATATTTGGCATAGTCTGTTCCCACCGAGCAGCATTTACGAGTCTGTAAATTAAAGTCTGGATTTCATACCTGTTGAAACTTATTACTTTTATCGTTTCACTACTTCGTTTGAGACAGCCTGAAATTCATTTATATTCTCTATGTCTATTTTAGCTTAGGTATTATGAATAATAAAGGTGTATACTGTATGTTATTCTTGGCGGCAAGTCAAAAGTTATATAGAACTTTATAGACGATATTCCAGATACTAATTACCTATCGAGGCACGTGAAGAGTCTAGTTACTCCCTGCTTCAAAGTGTCTTTCATAATTATTTTGGATCTTTTTGGTGAGGCACTAGCTCTTCTAAAGACATTGATAGATAACCATTCACTGGTTTTAGTACTCTGATTCTTCTTTTTTCTTTTCATGGAAATTGGTCAGAATCTCTAGTAACTCGTGTTATCAATTTCTGGTCGTTTGTTCTTAACATGCTTAACGAACACAGATTGAGAGTATTAGAGTCAGAAAATTGACCTCGGTCCTCCTGTGATTCTTCGTTAGGCTCATAGTTGGGATGTTAGGAAACCTCGCTCTCACGCTCGATATGTTTAAAAGCTCTTTCCTCCTTGCACATCTACCATCCACGCTACGAACGATAACTCTAGCATTCTTGCCAGACTACTCTTCGTTACTTGTTCATTTATAGAAACCTATGGCGCACCATGGAATTTTACGGTACAGTGAACGGGAACCAGGAAGAGGGTCGTACCTTGTAACTTACGGAAAACTCACTGTGCCCAATGTTAGGGAGCTTTCGACGATAATTATAACTTCGAGGTGAGGCAAACGTTCGGATCAGGTAAAAGTACGCATTATCCCCTTCTCGCTATGCAACATGTACTTGGTATTTACGTAAGTTCTACTCTGTGAGAAATATGTGAATTTATTTAATCTTCTTGTGTTAAACTCCGTCTATCGCCGAGTCCCTAATATACTTACCTAATTCCGAAAGAACATGGTCTTCCGGGGTTGAAGTTTTACGTAGGTTATCTCTATTAATGAGCGGAGGCTAAATACCTAGCTTCCTTCCTATCTACCAGACAACTACTAACCCTAAAGCGCGTAATCTAACGTATTCAAGGCCTATTTAACCCTTAAATATTCTCTAGATCTCTTATAGGTGGATGTTTTCCCTAGCCTATTGTAACGAATACTCAAACTGGCTAACTAAACTTGGCTGGGTGTTCGCTGGTTGGTATGCTATGATAAGAAGAAGACTATCGGGTTGTTCACCTGGAAGTGAACTCGTTACTTGTATCAAAGATGTCAAACTGATATGATAAGATTGATAACTAAGTTGAGCACGAAGCTCCTATCTAATGGCAGACGTGCCAGTCTTATATAGAACCTTCGTTCTCTCGATGTTCGCTCGTTCGACAATCGAACTGGCTAACTTCGCCTGTTCGCCCGGCTAACTGGTGAACTCCTAATATCACGTGATAACAATACAGAGAAATCCCTGGATCGCTTAGCTACTCCAAACGATCCCTATTTGCTATAAGAAACCTGGATGTGCCTGTCGAGGGTTGCGCCTCTTATTATGACAGGTATCACGTGAACACGTGATTCGTGACACTATTCTCTATAATAATACTACTATTATTAATATAGCGAATTCGATTAATAAGTTCTCTTCTAACGACTTAGACGAGTATATCCCCGAGGATCCTACTAAAATACCTACTAAAACACCTACTAAGAAGGGCCGAAAGGTAGTTATAGAGATACTAAAATCTAAAACTCTAGCTAGTATAAAAGGCAAGGGTAAAGGTAAAAAGTCTACGAACAAGGAGGACAACGTAAATAAGGAGAATAATAATAAGTTACTACGTATATCCTAGACTACTACTAAGATAAACGATGTCAGGACTTGTAGCAAATGCTGATGAATTGAACTACAGAGGTTGTCTATGTACAAGAAGATTCGATTGTCCTTCCCAAAGCAGCTTCCCAGCCCTCTCTATATACCACAGAACTGGCTACGTGTCCTTTACCAATACTCTAGAAGGTTCCACCAAGTCTGCTTAGAGGTCACGTGCACATGTCGCTGGAGCACTCCAAGACTGACTCCACGGGTGCAACCCTTGACAAACGAGGCGCTTATTAAGGAGTATTATACCTAATTTATACGTATTAAAGGTACTAATAATAGATAGTTTAAGAATAATATATAGCCTATTATTTATAGAAATGTTTAAAAGATAATATAAGATAAGGAAAAGAAGAAGGTTTTAAGTATTAAGTATTATAACGTGGTTTATCAGCGAGTCGATCATATCACCGAGTCGATCACTTTTTCTTGGCACAGAACTTTACACCTAAATAA